GAGGAGAGCGAGTGAAGCAGGAGAAAGAACTGGCGAAGCTACCAGCAGATATGTGAGAAGCTTCGTCATCGAATGTTGCTGAAGTATTCAAACACGAACGCTTCGTGTATATTACATCCACCAAGCAGGTAGAGCAGTAGCAGTTGCTTGTCCAGCGACTCATCACCTACACGCAACACATAGAAGAGCAGAGTAAAGCTATCAAAACAATCAAAGATGCACCCATGAATAACAGCCCGGTTGTTGCCGAAGAGAATCCAAGTGTCGTGCGAACGACAATGCAAGTGGCGTTCGCGGACTAGCGTTACCGATGACTTTGCGCTAGTGACACCTGCCAGTGGTGACATATCGGTACTGTCCTTTACACAATGCTCAGAGGCAGGAAATACCAGTCCATTTGATGTTCATTCAGTCATGACGCCCCGCAGAAGTATCTCGTCTCAACTGGAAGGGCTGGCTTCTCTCGACGGTGATGGAATCCCCGGCATGGTAGGCGGCATGGGCATCACACCAAGTACGATGAACAAACTTCACAAACGGCCACTTTCGCCACCAATCCAACTCGATGATGTGGAACTCGAAGCTACACGGACTGAACATGTTCCTCCGGATGGTGGGTACGGATGGGTGTGTGTGGCTACTTGCTTCACGATCAACTGCTTCACATGGGGTACCGTTTCTGTAAGTGGACCCAATAATGCAAAACACTGCAGACTTGATCCTCATTCACAATTCTCACAATTTCCAAGGCATATGGCATCTACCTATCCCATTACTTGGCCGAAAACATCTTTCCCGAGGCAACTCCCTGGGACTACGCTTTTATCGGTGGTGTCAACTTCGCAGCGGCCATGTTTCTTGCACCTCTCGTTACCGTTTTGTGTCGCAAATTCGGGATCCACGCCATCATGTGCTGTGGACTTTTGTTGCAATGTAGTGGCTTCATCGCAGCGTCCTTTGCAACTCGAATCTGGCAGCTGCATATTTCCCAGGGCGTCCTGATTGGATGTGGTATCGGATTTCTGTACATTCCCTGCCTCCCTGTCCTCTCACAATGGTTTGAAAAGAGACGCAGCCTGGCGAATGGTATTAGTGCTGCAGGATCTGGGGTTGGTGGGGCGGCTTTTGCTTGGGGCACCGAAGCAATCATACAACGGTTCAGTATTGGGTGGGCGCTACGTATCACGAGCATTATCGCGTTCACGGCCAATACCATAGCTACTATTTTCATACGCGACCGGAACAAGGCCATTCGACCATCCCAGCTAGGGTTTGATACAGAGCTTCTAAGGAGGCATGAAGTAATATTGCTGCTTTCATGGGTCTTTGTCAGCATGATGGGTTACATCGTTCTTCTCTTTTCGTTGTCTGACTTCGCGCTTTCTATTGGACTTTCGCAATCTCAAGCAACTGATATGATCGGCCTACTGAACATCGGCACTGCCGTTGGCCGGCCAATTATTGGAATTATCAGCGATCGATGGAGTCGGATTGACACAGCGGGTATGCTTACGCTGATGTGCGGGATCTCGTGTTTTGCATTTTGGCTGCCGGCTATGTCGTACGGACTCACCGCGTTTTTTGTTATAATTTGTGGAGCTATCGTGGGAGTCTTTTGGATGGTATGTCTCGTCCCCAGACCAAGGCCTACTAAATATGTATGTATGCTAATGATCCAACGTACAGTCAATCGGGCCGCTTTGCGTTGAAGTTGCGGGTGTGAAAAACCTACAATCTTTATTGTCCTTGTCTTGGACAGCCGTCATCATCCCCGTTACAGGTAAGCATATGCCTCCTAGCTTATACAGCGACACTCTGATGATTCTGCTCAGTATCTGAGGGGATCGGCTTGAAACTCAGGCGTTCATCTTCGAGCCGTGAATACCTCTATACACAGATATTTGCAGGACTGTCATACATAGTGGCCAGTGGCTTCATGCTCCAGCTGCGGAGAGTGAAGCGCCGAGAATCACCAAATCAAGCTTCATAGGCAAGACCGCGACGATGACGGGCGAATCTATAGTATATCGGAAGGGTAAGCGACGGTTTACATTGATAGCTCTTCAAAAGGTTGACTCGTCCTACTCGACGTCTCGCTCACTTCGAATGTTGACAGTGAGGATGGTCTTGTTCTGTTCTAAATGTGTACTCAAACCTACACCATCGAAGTACGTTGATATAACCCAATAAGTCACTAGCTGTAAAGATGACTGCAATAAATTTGACGTAACCAGGGAGAGAAGATTCTCACGTTTACTCACAACGCGCTAGCCATGACACAGTCAGCCCAACAGCGCACATCGCAAACGGATCACGCCGATATCTAAATGAAGGCAGGACGACTGTTGCAGGAGCCCGTAATAGTATGCAATGTTTAACAACATACAGTTGCATCGTGCTATCATCTCTCGTCCATTAGCTCCAGAACAAGTGTATTTTTAACGTTGCACTCTTTGTCTCCCTCACATCCAAGTCGAGCTCGTATTCGATTTCGATCTCCATCACCGCGCATCTCAGCTATGATGGTAGCAGCCGTTTCACACGAAATGAGCAATCCGGTATCGGGGGACTGATCCTTTGGTGTGAAAGTAGGAGCACAGAAACAACTTGCGGTATTAGGGCAGTCGGCATCGTTTTCTAATATCATGAATGGTGGTGTGCTATCAAGCACGGCGTTGTTCGCCGTTCTTTGACACGACTGTTCTACTTCCGCTGGCTTGGAATGAGTAGCTTCTTCTGGACGAATGGGCGTGCTGTATTCCGGCGAACGTGCACCAGCTATTTCCTGTCTGACATCGCGTTTTGCGCATTGCGTAATTTCGGAAGAACATTGAACATTACGCTGATGGCCGATCTGATATTGCGAATGAGGCTGGTGAAATTGCGTACGAGGTTGAAATGAGTTTTGGGTAAGCGGTTGAGCTACAAATCCCGCAGTCGAGTGTGAGACGGACTGCAAACCTGGTTCCCCGACGGAATAAGCAGAGGTCGGTCCCGCTGTCGCCAGTTCTGTCTGCTGCAAGGGCAATAGGGTGTGGTTGGGCCCTTGAGAATGGCCTTGAGGACCACTTTGGTCGCTTCCGACGTCGAATGACCGTAGATAGGCGTCAATCTCACTTTGCGACACACCTCGGCTTGAGAGCATGCTTCTTAATCGCAAGTTCTCCTCTGCTACTTTACGGGCAGCACGCTGCATGTCCTGCGTCGCTGCGACGCCTTTCGCTTCATATTCTTGGACGCGACGCTGTAGGTCGTGAATAAGCTCCTTGCGCTGATTGCGAGAACGACGCTGGTTCTCGCGGATCCGGATTGATGACGGCGTGTCATTCCCCTGGTACACCTTTAGTCCTATTCCTGTACAATTAGCAATGCAGAGATAAAGGCCTACCTTCTTTGACATAGGTTCTATGAGTTGAACTATTAGGAAGGAAAAGAGGTAGATAGTCTGTAGACAGAGAAGGATAAGGTGACGTGTAAGATGGAGAGAAACTCTAGGCTGGTAAACTCAACACGGTAACGCCAACTGGTCCGTGCATTGCTCTATCTTATCGTTCCCCCTAACGCCCCACATAAGAGAACCCATCCTCTTTCCACACAATGGTGGAATGTCATCTCTATACGTTCCGCCTGCATATGACATCGAAGCTCAGCATGCCGGGACCGAACATCTCGCCATCAACAACACTTTTGATTCTCGACACGACTAGCGTTGCATACTACAGCGAAGTTCTATTCACGTGATGGGCTCTGCGTCCCAATATCGAAACACAAAATTGTGAAGACGGGTCGTAGAGTCCATCTGACAGAAGGCGCCACTATGAAATACCTAGCTGAAAAGACTACTGTTCCCGTCCCGAAGGTATATTGCTCGTTTCTGCACAAAAACAGAGCGTACATCGTTATGGAGAGGATCCAAAGCGAGGAACTGCCAAAAGCGTGGAATAAATTGCCTAAAGAATCAATCGCGGGTATTTTCGCACAGTTGAGAAGTATTTTTGAAGAGCTACGCGCCCTGACACCTCCTCCAAGTACGGGTGTTGAAAGCCGTGTCAAAGGCTCTTTGTATGACTCCCGCATGTCGCGGGGGAATCCACGATTCGGTCCGTTCAGGACAATCTAAGAATTTCATTTTTGGCTTAGAAAAGACCTGAAACTAGAAGATCTCAAAGACCGGGAAAGGGATCAGGATTGGCATGACCTCCAGGACATGATAAGCAAACAGGATGGATCATGGCCGCCGCCAGTCTTTACCCACGGCGACCTAAATCCGTTCAATATCCTCGTTCGGGGTGGCAAAGTGGTTGGACTCATTGATTGGGAGTTTTCAGGACGGTATCCCCATTATTAGGAGTATACATCGGCCTGGTTTGGCAATGTCACGAGAACGGAATGGCAGGGTATGCTTGATAAGGTTCTCGACCGACCAAGAGCTGAGATATTCAAGATGGAGGAAGTTCGCCATAAATGGTGGGGTGAATGATTGCTCATAGTATAGATAGAGAAAGAGAGTATAAAATATCTTATTGTTGAGAATATCTGGGTTCAGTCCAGGGTAGAAGGTGATTGAGAGTCACGTGATGTGCTGGTGTGGCAGGCACTGCCCGGTGGGCAATAGCACCCACCACAACAGCAAAAGTCTGAGAGACACTCAACACGATAGTCAATACAATACGTTGCAGCCACCCCGCCTTATCCCTCCTCCCACTCGGTTATCCATAGTAGTCATACTACTAGAGGGACCTTGTTCCAATACTTATTAAGAATTTGTTCTATTTTTTTTATTCATGTGAATCGTTAGGCTAATCGAACCTATGCTAACCTACATAGTCCATCACGTATCTCAGTCATTGTCTTGAGACTGGATCGTAACTCTCAACTACCGTCGTCCTTCACAGGCAAGCTCTATGCTGGTTACAATGTTAGACGGACAATTACACAAGAACAAGTCGCGAGTACGTACCAAACTGGAAGTTGCCGTTCTCGTTGCTGATGCGCTCACCCAAATTGAGGTCGCGCTCCTGGCTGTTGCCTTCGGCGTCCATGAGTGTAGCGCGAAGAACAGGAACGTCGCCATCTCCCTCGAGTGCGAAATGGATGTTTTCAGCTGAGTGAGAGAAGTTCTCGCCGTCCCAACAGAAGTGTCCTGGGTCTTTCAGCGCTGACACCATGTGTGTGGGAGTGTAAAGAGTGGCTCACCGTTGTCGTTTCCAACATGTTGGTTGAGATCGATCTCGGAGTCGTTCCATTCGCCGTCGGCAGTCTGGAGGCGAGCCCTGAGAACGTGACCGTCGTCGATGCGGATGTTCTCGGCGGTATGGTAGAAGGTCATCTTGATTGACTATGAAGGGGTATGGGGTGAAATTGAGAGACGTGGGTTGGATTGAGAGCAAGTGGAGAGGTTGAAGAGAGAAGTGAGGAAGCTGTGAGTTTTATACTGAGGTAACTAGGGGCCGAGCTTCAGCAGCCCCGCACTAACTTACGAATTGAAGTGGACAGCGGACGTCTGTTCTTTCCGATGCCAAAGGTGAGGTAGGTGGTCTCACTAGCAGGTGCACGGATCCGCAAGCCAGACTCGTTGGTAGTAGCGGTCTATCATGCCAAGCCAGCAAACATCTCGTACATACATCCAGAACACGCCACAGCTTCAAGACGACATGAGCTCAACGCAACTTACGTCTACGAACAACTGATTGTGGCTTCACCGTTACTTGGTGTCCACACACTGCGTTATGCCGAGATCCGGCTTGGAAGTCACGATTGTTTACACAACGAAGCCAAGGGAGGTGCACCACAGTTGACTTGCGCGGTCAGCCATGCGCGAGCCCCAATATGCGCCCCGTGGCTGTGTGTGAATGGCTCTGGTAAAGTGGCGTGACTTCAGCGTGCATTGTGAGTGGGCCTTGTGCGTATGCGTCGTTTCGGACTCCGCGCAATGCCCGTGTCAATGTGGCTGTGATGGCCGAGGGCGGGCATCTAGTGCGGGGTCAAGGACAGAAAGAATGACAGCATCGCGGCATTTACGTCAAGCAAATCGAGGGTTGAGATTATGGTCTGAAATGGCGTAGGCCATCAAGGCACTGGATTACAGCTGGAGCTGACGCAGGGTCGACGCTAGGTCACCAGCTAATCTGGCACGGGCCGCATCCTCCCCACTTCACTTTGCCTTGCCATGAAGTCCATCTTCTCTTCACAGGATTTGACTTCACTAGGACGTCAAGTCTCAATCGCTCTCAACATCTAATGGAATTAGACTTTCATTGAATGTCAGTGAAGACTAGTTTGTGGGCCTGCATTGGGTTGCGACGCAGGACGATTGCAGGTCAATGCAACAATGTAGCAACACAAGCTCGCTACTTGAGAACAATAGGTCAAAAAACAACATCAAATGCTTCTCAACTAATCTGAGTGATTTCCCTCCACCAGTAGCGGATCTTCAAAACAAATCGAAGCTTCAACCGACCAACATGCCAGGCCCTGGACTACCGAATCAACTCGCTAAGTTTGCACCGGACAGTCTAGATCAGCGCACCTCGCCTACCGGTCCCACTGTGGCCACTTCGACGCATCGCGATCAGATCAAGGCGATCCTGGAGCCATTCCGATGGATTCAGCTAATCATCAGCTAATCACTTTAGAGAGCATTACCCACCCTTGTGTTAGCCTATGAAGGTCGACATGTGCGACACTACTACATGAAATCACATTATCTCGAGCATTGCACCACAGGTTACTGGAGGATCATGTCCGAGGATAACATCACTGTCACATATGATCTCAGAATTACTTCTCCAACGACATCCGAATTCGAACATTACACTATTGCTGTATGTGAGGACATGATGTGGCCTCTATACCATGCGCTACCAGTTCAAGCACGTAGAGCCTGGGTCGAGACGTGCAGGCAATAGACTCTCAGTCGGGTCAAGTCGAACCCGTATCCGATAGGGTCACCGACTGTGTAGAGAAGCCCGGAGACTGCAATACTGATAAACAATATATGGGGATAGTGCTTTCCCTGACTTTGCGTTTACTACGGGAGATTTGTGTTGTCGTCATGAAACACGGTTCAGCATGGTTTGTTTGTTGAATCTCCTTTGAGGAGACATGGAATTCGGCGTCAAGGTAAAAGGGGTAGACGAGAGGAAAAAACTGCTGATAAACCTAACTGGTATTGCTTGGTCTATGCATCTGCCATATCGACGCAGTTATCGTCCTGCAACATTACAATACGAACCCACCGGTAGTAACAGTCTTCCAGCTTCGCACTGGATGCGTGTCCTCTAGCTCTACGCACCACCAAAGTACATCCCGAGTCTTGTCAATTTGGCCACTTTCTTCATATGCCCGCGCTAACGCATACCAGGCCTCAGAGTAGTCCCAGCCAGCACCAAGCTTGGTGAGTGTGGACAGCAGACCGAATGCACGATCGCGTGCCGTAAGTCTATCGAGTTCAGGTGGAGAGAGCTGATTTTCGACCGATGGGGTATGTGAGGTTAGATTATGTATCTTCGGGATCGAAGCGCTCGCTTGAGTAGACGAAACCGACGGTGGTAGAGTTGGGGACAACGCATCTGCGAAGCTGTTGGGCTCGAGTGGTATTGCTTCAGAGTATATATCCAGAAGGATATTCGAAAGACCCACAATTGCCTCTGGGTGGTCGGGGAAATGCTGAAGGGCACGCTCAAAGTCTACACGTCCTTCGTGAGCCAACGACTGTGCGACCAGAAGTTCTCCACGCTGAGATACAAGTTAGCGAAAGTACTGCAATCATAGATATAGTAGCTCACAGCAGCGAAGACATCAGCCCACAGCTCCTCCACACTTTTACCGCCTCCCCACCCTTCGTCTGAAAGAGCTTTGGCCGTAGATGATTCGAGGCAAACCTCTGCCTCAAACGTCTCGACCAGTTTGAGAGCCTCAGTGACAGCCTCTCTGGCATCTTGATACATGTGTGCCCTTGCGTACAGCCTGGATATGAAGATCCATATACTGACTAGCAATGACACCTTTTGCCTGCGTTCTTGAAGCTTGGAAAAGTGGGGATCTGGGGGTATGTGATCTGCATGTGGTATGCGCGAGGGCAAGCGGGTATCCTGTTTTGGGGGTTGTTCGTCGTGACCGAGCGGTGGAGAAGAATGATCCAAGTTATGTGCAACCGGCCGTAAAGGTCTATCGCCGCTTTCGACAGACTTCCTTGTAGACCTAGGAATGGAGATTCCCCGACCAGTTCTTGAATTCACAGTGCTGCTGCGTGTTCGTGTGCCATTTGTGACAGTTCCTGGAAGCGGAGGTACGTCCGACGCCTGGTGAGCTTCTGGGATGGTGGCTCCTTGGAGACTAGCCGAGCGCTTTCGGAGTTTGCTCGGGGATCTCTTCATTCCTGCCTGGCTGTCATCTTGATTGTGATGATGGAAGAGCTTATGTCGGTGATGACCATTAGCATCAGCCCCGTCGTCGTTTGTGACTTGGATTTCTGGTTGTGTCATGGCTGTTCCGGAGCTGATTACGGATTCATTGCGAGCCTTGTTGTCTTGTTGTGTTGTCCGCACCGAGCCTCTACCGCGAAATATGCTTCCACGAGTAGTTCCCATGGCGCTTTTTGGGGGAGCCAGCGCCGTAGACGCAGGGACTGGCTTGACCGTCTCGGTCGCTGGGTCACCAAACAATCTGCCATACAAGGCGAGAAGTTCATCACACCCATCTACGGCGGCAATGACACCATCGGTGACTTCGAGTAGAGTTAATTGCGTCATCTTAATCTGCAATACATTGCTCTTCTCAAACCGCTCCATGCGATCAACGACACCTAGTCCGAGGCCATCTTGACTAGTAGCGGCATTGAGGTGTTCGCTACGATACGCGCCTGAGTCGCCGCGACCAAAGAGGATGACAGGGTTGCCGAACTGTTCGAAGGCAGCTTCACAAGCCTTCTCTGCAGCAGCGAAGTCGGAGCGCGAGGTCAATAGCAAAGCAAGAAGGTGCCATACAGGAATAAGCTTACGCTCTCGTCCGTACTCGGTGATGATTCCACCAGAAATGACACCGTCAGCACTGACAGTTGTTCCTCTGGTGGCTGGGGAAAGGGCGCGTTTTGCGATTTTGATAGCGCCCGGTATATCTCGGGTCTCAGCCAGCACCAACGCCAACGCATAGAGTGTTTCTACATTGTTTTCATCGCCGAAAGTGGGCGAGAGTGACTTGCGGAGGTATTGTATCGCCTTGGCCTGGATGGTCGCCCGTGTTTCGACGTCGTAAGTGAGGCGGGCCCAGTGAGCTTGGCCGATACCGATGGCACAGTATGCAGCGGCTAATGCTGTGGGCTCGACGACTGTCTCAGCAGAGACTACTGGGGCTGCATCGGAAGCGGACCGAAGATGCTCTATCTGTTCGACCCAGTGCTCGATGGTGTGGCTAATTTCAAGCGCCTTCTCGGCTTCCTTTCTGGATCCCCATCGACAAAGCATCCTGATGGCTTCGGCCGAAGTTCTCAAGACGGTGCTATCGTCGTCAATGCCTAGCTCGACTTCTCCCGACTTCTCCGATCGATCCTTATTCCGCGTGATGATCTCAACGTAGGAATCGTAAGCTTTGTATGCCAGCTCAGGCTCGGCCAGCGATGCGTGGACGACGAAGAGATGACGCAGAATTTGGGTCGAGTGGTAGGTCTTGGTAGCTGCTCGGTACAGGATGTCGAGCACACTTCGTGCAACGCCCTCCTTGCCGCCTTCGCCGAGGTCGTCGTCACTCCACGTGGGGCCGCAGAGGAGGCGCCAGTTGTCCATGACGGCGTCGACCCATGCCTCAACCTCGTGATTTGTTTCGCTGGCCTTTGGAAAGTTGGTCTCCTTGACCAGTAGACTCTCATAAACGGTCTCGACGCGCTTCAGCTCAGCTCGCTGACGCAGGCGCGTGTCCGACTGGGCATTTGGCTTTGGGTTTTCCTGGACAATGGGCGTCGAGTCGGGCTCGTAGGCGAGGTCGTGGCGGAGGATGGTGGAAAGCGAGTCGTAGTATGCCTTCCATGCGAGTCGACGGTGTCGTGATGCGGTGGCAGTGGTGGTGTCGGATGCGCCGCTCTTGGATGTGGCATCCCAGAACTTGGCCCAGTAGCGGTAGGTACGTAGGGCTTCCGAGGCGTTGATGTTTTCGCCCGTTATAGTTGACTGGTCCGACAGCTGGCAGAGGCGCACGAGCGAGTGTTCGCCCCATAGTTTGAACTGCATCGACTCGGTCGTCGGCGTTGTGGCCGTCGTCAGCCAGGGCACTATGGATGAGTACGTCTCAACGGCCTCGTCGACTGCACCCGTCTTTTCGAGAGAGGAACCTTGGACGAGGGTCAACGTTGAACATGTAAATTCAAATAGCATGCGTCATGGTACATGTATGTCCATGTCCATGTCCATGTCCATGTACGTACCTTTGAGGTAGGTGCCCTTGACCAGACAGACTCTCGACCAGCCGCTCAAGGCGCCTCCTGCCTCTGCCAACAGCTGGGTCGCGACTGCCCCAAAGTCTCCCGGAAGTCGCGCAGCTGCCAGGCCAGGCTCTTCAGACACGTAATGAACCCAGCCCAGGCAGACGTTTGCCTGGAAGGCGTCCTGGGCCGGCGTGTCTCCCTCGTCCATGGCTGTGAGCAATGGCGGGATAATCTGGGACAAGGCGCCCGTTGACTTTGTCGATGAGGCCGTCGAGGGCCGCTGTCCACTATACGCCGCCACCTGGGCCTCGGAACGCGCGGTGAGGGTGAGGCCTGGCACTCACATTAGCCCTCCAACACCACCCAAAAAGTCGAGATACACATGGATTTCAGAGGAAAAAGGTGTGGCTCACATCGTCGGTGCGGCGCATGCTTCTCTACCTTTCTGCACAGCTCGGGCACGTCTGCCCATCGTCCGGCGCATCTTGCCTCGTCCAATTGCTGTATGTAGCGCTTGGCCTTGTCGCTCTCGCCCGTGTTCTGTGTAGATGTGAGCTCCTAGAAGGCGCAGAATGACGTTGCTCGAGCATGCCTTGGGGCAAGACTGAGCTGACCCGTAACCTACCACCATCTTCTTAAAGATATGCCTTTGGCACTACGCAAAGTCGCAAAACATGTAGATTCATGTTCAAGAAATAATAGCAAATCCGACGACGACGAACATGCCCGTATTCATGTCACTGACCGCCCGCAACAATTCGGACCCACCACCCCCCTTGGCCGCTGCATCCATGCCTGCTTAGCGCCGCCCGGCCCGACGCCGCCTCCGAGCTCTGCCCGGCTCAACTTTTTTGTACTGTCCATAACTACTACGATTATTTTTCGTCGCAGCCCAGATTGGCCCTGCATTGAAGCCTAGGGTTCCCAGGAATACATACAAATAACAACATGGCTCCAATCATCTCGGAACTGGCCACGCTGCGAGCTCTCAGCTTCCGCATCTCCTCCACACCAACATCGCAACTTCCTCAGCACGTGCCGGCCATCGCATCGGCCTTGGCAAACTGCAGAACTCTTCTCTCTTCACCTCAGGCTTCCGGCACCAAGGCGACTTCTTCAGAAGCGTCCGTAGCAATTCACAAATTCCGGACCTTACTCTCGACACTGCTGCAGGACCGCACCCCCCAGGGAAGATGGTGTGCTATAGTCTTAATCAAAGCAACAATCGAAGTCGGGGGATGGGAGACACTGCAGAAGAGCTTACCATGGGTTCGCGGGCTTTTGGGTTTCTTGAATAAACCAGATCCTCCGTCTTCAAAGAAACTGTGCATCATCACCCTGACGCGCATTTTCTTCCTCACCAGAGAATATCCAACTCTAGTCCGCGAGATCACCACCCCTTCTTTGCCAAGCTTTATCCAATCTAGCTTGCACATGGCGAATGCAACATCAACTCCAACAGCTCTCTTGCAAACCATCCTTGAATGCCTCAACGAGCTATTGCCCCGACACCCTACCATCTTCCGGTCCTACCTTAAGCAGCTCCATCCGCTTCTAGCACGTCTTATTGCGCCCACACCATCCAACAAGATTAGCCCGGAACAGATTCCTGGAACTAGATATACGACGTCTTCTGAAATCATAATGGCGGCGCGCGAGCTCTACGTTCAATTGTCTTGTTGTGCGCCCAAGGGGACATCGAGCGAGGAGTGGATGAAATCCCTGAAAGCTCTTGTCAACAATGCCCATCAGACTGCAGACCATGTGTTCCGTGCTGTATTGGAAGACTGGCAGCCTACTACCCGTGAATCACCTCTAGCAAATGGCCACACGCTCGAGGACGAGGTGCAGGATCTGGAGCCTAACAATCATCTGCCACCATGGTCTGGCATCTTTGCTGGGGGCGAACGTCTGAAGGGACTTCTTAACCTCATAACAGAGTACCTTGGCACGCCCACAGCGGGCCCCATATACCTAAATATCGCCATGGTAATGGACTTGATCTCAAGAGTGCTATCACTCACCATCCCTGCCTCGTCGAGCAAGAGCTTCCAGAACACCGTTAGGCTGAATATTCAAGTCAGCAAAGACGAGCGTGAAGCTCTTTGGTTACTACTACCGGACGTGCACATTGCGGCGATGAAGCTGCTTCTGGCGCTGGCAGACAGGTCTCAGGCAAGCACATTGGCACTTGATCCCATTGTCATCGATCAGGTCGTCTGGGTGTTTGGAGCAGAAAAGAATGTGGCACAGATCAGGACGACGTGTTACACGGTTGTCGCTTCCCTACTCAAAAGGTCGGGAATCGCGCTACCTAAGGCAACTATCGACTCCCTTGTACCCCTCATCCGGCTCTGTTGTGACGATCTGCTTCCCTCTGAGATTGCTACGGCGCCAGCGCAGCATAACACTACACAAACAAAGACAAACGGGAATAGTCAACCCCAGACAACTGCAAATGCGGATAGCTTCTTGAGTGCTTCAAAGGCTATCAGTGACCCCACCGCTGGCTTGTCTGGTCTCAAGGAAGCTGCCTATGATCTCCTTCCCACATTACTCTCCAACATACGCGCCCAGTACCTGTCAGACTCGATGCGAGCTCGTCTAGATCGCACGGCTGTCCTCATCCAGCACAAGGAAGCCATGTTAGCTAGCGTTCTTAATCCGCCCCCAAGCAAGAGATTTGGCAAGCCGTCAGCCAGTGTATTACCGCTTATAGCTCGATCCTATCCTGTTGAGATGGAGATTGAGGGTATGCTTAGGCCGAGAATGCCTGTTATTCGGCTAGGAGGCCAGGAACTGGAAATCGACGAAGCCGAGGACGAAGATGTGGATGACGAAGAAGAGAGTGAGGAAGAAGAGCATAGCATTAAGCACGCGGATGAGCACTGTGTGGGGCAAGAGCTAGACGACTTACTAGAGACCGCTGGGCAGACGGGGACTATAGTAAGAGACTTTGCTGTGACAGATGCTCTAGCGGCTGGCCCAGCAGCAAATACTCCATCGCGACCACTTCCTCAGTCAAGCATGGCGCAACGCCCGATGATATCGGAACCTACTATGTTTGCTGACGTGAAGCGGCCGATGGGCGATGAAGGTCCTCTTTCACCTTCCAAGCGTGCAAAAACAGGCGAGGCCGAACACGGCACGACGCACCCAATCTCGCCTGTCTTAGCACACGATGCTTCTCTAAACCATCGTCCCATCACTTCAGGTATATCAGCCACTTCAGATTTCACGGCTACCAGCACCGCCTCTGCAGCTCCCGAGCTACCCGTACCATGTGAAGGCGGCCTGGACGATGACAGTGACGATGACAAGATTTCTCTCGTGCTTGGTCAGGATACGGATGATGAGTCGGATTAGATATTGTTGTAATAATGAGATTTCTATTGTCTACCAAACTTGCCATTATTCTGTGAAGTGGTGAATAGCAAACGCACGTAGCGCGCACAGACCCTAGTACTCACACTCACTTTCACCATACTTACTTTCACCACCCCCACAATGGCCACGCCGATCTCCTGGTTCTAGCCTACAGCTCAAAATCCTCCAGCAGACTCTAACATTCTGCCACAATCTTTCCAACAAACTTATTCAGTCAGACCATCTGCATCCACGAACTCAACACCTTACTTTCCAACATGTTCCAGTCAAGCAGACGCCCAAAGGCAACCCTCCGACCCGTATCCTCCTCCCGAAATGGTGTCAAGAAGCCGCCCAAGTGGACGCCGCGCACAGCCAAACCAATTGCGGAGCCAGCTACATCCTCATCACTACGCCTTCAGTTTACGCCTCTGCATACACGAGTCTTGACCCCCTACCCATTCAACTTGTACCATGACGAGGACGATGAGGAGCCTGAGGTTGATTGCGAGCTCCTGTACGATGACGATCTCCTGTACGATGAGGAGCCTGAGGTTCCTGGCCAGATCCTGTACGATGACGAGTCTCAAGACGATGAGGAGCCTGAGGACAACATCATCGTAAACAGCGTAGAGCTCGGTCCCTCGATGCGAAGCATAGGCGTAGCGCACTACCTCGAGCAAATCGCCAAGTTCAGTCCTGATGACTTCACTCCGCTGTCACCATCCGACTACAGCCTAAGCGACTTCAGCCTGCGCGAATCTTCATCTCCAAGCTGCACACCGTGGTCAGACGAGGACGAGGACGAAGCAACAGGCTCTGGGATCAATCCCCCACAAGGCCGCTGGGGCCCTCAAGGAATCAATTACAACAACTTCGACATGCCCATGCCTCCCTCGTCAGTCGCCAAGTACGAGCGCGAGATCTACAAAACTAGTACCTTCAATCCAGCGATTTGTCTGGCCATCATTCGCATCGCCGAGAAGAACATGCCTGCCATCAACTTCAGTTCTGCCGTCAATCATCTCCCCAATTTACGCCCCAGGGACCCTCTTCCAAAGCTCAATGGCGGTATCGTGAACGCTCAGTACAAGGAGAGGCGTGGCGACATTGAGATGAACGTCATCTTCCTGCCGCATTTCTACTACGATGGACGTCACGCATTGGGGTACTACGCGCTCTCTCCCGAGCCCGATAACTGGGCATGGGCACCCCACCAGGCTGATCTCTTTGTCAAGCACGAGTTGTTCACGCCATGCACTAGTTGGGATCTTGAGCAGTACGACTTGGTCGATTACGTGGAGGGACTAGACACTACATTCTCCACCGATGGAGAGGGATTGGATGCGGAGTACATAGAGAGTGTCGGTGTGAGGGGTGGAATGTGGCTCGCTTGGAATGTGGTTGAAGACTATGAGTATTGGGTTGCAGAATGGAGGATCGTGAAGGGTGTTTGGGAGAGGGATCTGGCGATGACAAGAGGAGTTGAGGAGACTAGTATGAGCGAGCTGGAGACGTGGCGTGTATCGAAATACTAGGTGCTGCAGTCATGACCAGGGGATATTAGGATTGCATGCTGGGCTTGCGGATACTTCTGTTACATTGCGTCGGAAGGCTTATCGAGATTGAGACCCTATAGGTAGTCAGTCAGAATTTACGAAACTGCGAGGTTGCACAGAGCCCTTGAAGTGTATGAATGCCTTGATTTTGGACATTATACATTTGCTATATACTATACAGAACAGAAGCTTTGAAGCTCAGTCTGTCATGTCGAAAAGCGGCATCTCTAGATAAGGTGCTATCTCACTATCTTCCGCATCCACGAGCTTCGCAACTGAAGTGTGCTCAGTACCGTCTCTCTGTTCGACAATCTTAGCCTTGCCAGACTGGGCTTCGTCTTGTGTCTCTGCCATGACGTTGAGTTGAAATGCGGCACGACCCAAAAATGAGATCCTGGATATGAATGCTTTGATCTTTAGTGTGGTGGAAGTTGAGTCCCACAAAACTACTTCACCTCTCGCCGGGAATCTCTCATCTCGAGGCGTATAACCGTCAGCGATGTTCATGAAAGCTACCTCTCTGACGACATCCTCAACGTGCACATCTTCCCGCGGAGATGATTGTGCATTCTCGAATAGTTCAAATAGCTGTGAAAGCGTCCAGATGCGACACCAAAGGCCTTCGTTGAATCCATCTCTATCCATAGGCGCGGCGAAAGAGCCCCACGCTATGAAGTAATCCTCATAGTCCTGGCTATAGAACGCTAAAACGTGGATAGTGTCTTTTGGAGAAGCCACTACGTAATCTCCGACAAGACCCGGTGATGCGACGTACTCATGATACGTTGGGCTAGTGCTGGCAGCGATATTTATGCGTATAGGTGGACACCAAAGCCGCTCTTTCTCTTCCACTTCTTCTTCGACAATCGTTATTTGGCATCTCTTGATGTCCTTTGGATTGTATTCAACCCGCCTTGTTATGACTGTCTAGCCGTGAGTCAATTGCCAATAGTTAAGTATGTGTCACAGTACCTTCATCAGCATAGCGCCTTAGCAGTACAGCTTCTGATACATTTCCGATGCTCAATTGGAGCAGTACGGGCTCAGCGGCACATCTTCGAAATCTCTTCTTACGATCATCGATCGCTTCCAGTAGGATTGCTGGCCTCGCTAAAGGATCGTCGCCTATTGTGCAATCTAATATGCCCAAATGTCTTCCTCTAAAGAGATCCAAGCACATATCATCGCTCCGGAGTGGACAGATTGACAACTCCATAGATAGTGCATTGCCAACCAAATTCATATTTGTCGCTTTTGCGTATGGCATCCACTCATTGCGGATGTCATCACGAAAGTAGCTCGGATGAGGCGCCAGTAACTGTGCGAAACTCCCTTGAGTCCGTGCCCATGTTTCTGTGGCTCGAAAAGCAAGTATCGAGTGATCCCTCGAGCGTTTGAGAATAGCCTCTTGTAAACGGTAGAATGCCTTGGCGCCTTCGCCGTAGATAAGCGGCATGTGTACTTCAAATAATCCCATTAGAGAATATGCGCTATCTTCTAAGCGTGTTGTTTCTCGCTTTGAGGCCCAAGTCATCCGCTGCGCAATAGTGAGCCGCAGTAGAGCCTTGCGGACGCTCACTTCGATTGTCTGCCCACAGTACCAGCAGACATAGGAGGCCGAATTCAACTGTCTTGTATATGCATCCCTTGAAACTCGCGCAGTCGAAAGTGGGTCTGTATGGCCCCGTATCAGAATCGTATCGTGTATGCCAGTGATGCTCGCTATCTCAGTTGCTAGAGAGATACGGCTCCCCAAGTGTGACCAGTTTCGATCGTAGAAGTGCACATGGTCTGGTGCCAGCAGTTCTTGCAATGTCCAGCCACGGCCAAACCAGCGGCAGTGTGATAGCGACAATTCTTTGCCATATCCTGCATCAGAAAGATACGCATAACAGACGCTGGCTTCTGTGTACCATCTGAACATGGAGTTGATCGCTTCCGAAAGTTCGGCGCTGCTCCCTTTGTTGATGCAACAAGTATCGATCCACACGAAGTCGTAGCCATCCGCTAGCGCTTGCTCGCACGCGCGTTGTATCTTATAAAAGCCTCTCTTTGATTCTATTTGAGCCCTAGATGCACGTCGTATGTCTTCAAACAAGACTTCTTCCTCTTCCCATGTGTGAGACAATATCGCGTACTTTGGCTTGTCTTGTCCCAGCTCGCTGTGCAGTTGATACGTTTTGGCATTGAGCAGTCTCATTGAGACTCTCTAGGCATTTTCCGTCTATTATTGCAGTTAAGTAAAGGCTAGCAGGTCTTGCAAGCGGATTGGTGCGCGATGTCAGGAAAGACGAAATGACAGGACTGATTCCGGCGAGCGTTAATCACATGCGCGTTACTAGCATCAGCGTAAAAACAGTATAAAGATCCAAAGATTGATGAAGGAAGGAAGACAGAGGTTGAACACAGTCCAACTCAATCGCAAGGCGTGGGGCTGAGTAGGCTGTGCAATGCGTATGCGTAAGCATGCCTGGAAGGCAACTATGTGTGGCTAAGCGCGACAGTTGATTCGTAGGCTTCCCTATATCCTATCTTGCGCAGCGCCTCAATATATGTGGCATAGTTGCAGACTCTAAAGCCATATCATGAACATTCGGAAGTTCATCGCACAAAGGCACACCTTGTCTGTGATTGTCCAGTCGCTGCACATCCCCACAAATGTGACTCTAAAAACGTGATAATGGTGTTTAAATGAACAGGTCACTATGAAATTATCCATGTCCCGCGCGAAGATTCGAAATATGATGCAGTTATAGGGAAAGAGGAGTGAGGAATGCGATGGAGACTCAGGTGGGTGGGGGCCAAGCTGGGAAGGCGCTAACTTGATGGCTAACTAGACATTCGGCGCATGTGCGACCCTCTTTCCATCTCGTAGTTCAACTGTGTTTAGATCATGACAGCATGCTGTAAAAGCTGCCACATACTACTATAGTGGACGTATCATATTCTGAGAGTCCGTAATGCCTCGTGGTAACTAGCGGTGACCTTGTACAATGACGGGACATACCGTTAACGGCGGATTAATGGCAGCATGGGACGATAACGTCCGTTTTAGGTCTGTGTGATATAAGTGACTTATTAAAGAAGTTTTTTTCCCTTCAAAGTCAGCTATTAAGCATGGTGCAGTACCCACCTAGGTAGTGTAAACAGATTTGTAGTGCACCTCCTCATCACGAACCTCTAAGCCTCGGCAAAGTCAATCAGCCTTACGTCATCCACTTCAGTCTTCAAACGTTGCCATATATTCCCCGTAATGTATGAAAGCTAATTAATCACTCTCACGTTCTCGGGCGATATAACCATCATGCCACTCTGTACCCTTTATCTCGTGGCGCTCCACAAGACGACACCAAATCCAATCCTCACATTCCTCTCCACATTAAGGTCGGCGAACAAATCACCACTCGTCGTATCGCGAGTCATACGTTGGATTATACTACCCTCTAAACTTTCAACCGAACGCCTGCTCGCTCGGAATATTCAATGGGATCTCCTGATCGTCTTGCCGGGCACGGATCCTCTTCCCACCGAACTCCAGAAGCTAGTACATCACCAGTGGAGCGTAGCAGCTGGTGTCCCCTCGCGCTTAATTGAAGACTTTTCTACCAAGAACGAAAAGCTACTTCATCCAAACAAGAGCACCGTGCCAGATATGCAAGAGCAGAATGACAGGAAGACGACCGACTCAAGTCAGAGTCTGGAACTCAGCGATGAGCTGAACGAATGGATTAAAACCTTTGTAACCACCGGGACAAAAGCAAGCAAAGGCGCAGTCTCAATGTTCAATCTTCTCGCGTTCAACCCTGGTATGAAGGAAGAATACCTCAAGTACGGCGCCGCATTCGCAAAGTCAATTGGGTCCAAACACGGCGGGAATGCGAAGATTGTTGGAAATGTAACGCACGTGAACGGCTCTGCGATTACGAAAGCAGAGAACTGCAGCGTTGGTACAAGTGGTGAGGTTGGCGGTGGGAAAGACGACTGGAATGAGATTGCGCTGGCGCATTATCCTAGTATTCTGCACTTTAGGGATATGCTAGTAAGTGAGGACTATCAGGAAGTCAACAAGAGGCACCGTGTTCCTAGTCTGGGGGATACGTGTATCTTGATGACGAGTGAGATTGCCATTGAGGAGTTGCTGAGTGAGGGTAAAGGTGGAGCAAAGTTGTAGTTGCTGAGTTGAACTTTCAAAGGAATATCTGCGTTACATTTTCTTGACTCCCAAAAGTTGGGTGACTTGTTTAGGGTTGAAGAGTATCTCACAGTCAGCATATCATTGAGAGAACTTTCAGTGTCCGCGCGTCACAACATGAAATGGTTAAACCCCAGTAAATTTTATTCGCTTTTGAGTAATTGTATCAAGCAGGTCGGTATCATGAGACATTGAACCCACTCACGTGAGGCTCGTGCTAATCATCCCGGACCCATTTCCAGCCCTTTCTAAGCCTCGACATGAAGCACAGTGTGCGCGTGGCCTTTTTCGACAGCCACAAATATCCCAGTCCCGAGTAGGCCCATCAACAGAAATCATTCCTCTCCCTCGCCTAGGTATCATTTCCCAGCTTGCCAGTCAGTCAAGAGAGCTAAAAAGAATCCAAACGCAATAACTTACAGCGTCGAACTGCACCGTTCGGAATCTCAAGCTTCCAGGTCTACGACCAGCTCCTTGTAAGAAACCCTGCCAGATCCTTCACCGGAGTGAATGTCTCCGCCTGAAATGGTCTGGAACCTACGCTGCTTCTTCCATCCACCCGCTGGGCTCTCAATCGGCGGCATGACCCAGTTCTTCTTATCCTGATCCGCCAGCCACTTTTGCCTCAGCTCTTTTGACAACTCAACCTTACGCTTCCAGCTTGTCTCGTCTTCGCCTTGCACTTTGAGTAAGATGGGACTGCGGCATTTCTCTGACTTGGAGGGGTCCAGGGCCTCGGAGGCGAAGCTGCGACGGTGCAGGAGACAGAATTCCGGGTTACCAGTGCGCTGGCAGCGGGAGCAGCTTGGGTGGGTGCGCGAGCAGGGGAGATCGGCGAGCGTGCATTGGAGGCAGGATGTTAGCCAGACTATGCGAGGAGTATCCGGCTCGTAAGTGAGGAGTTGATTAGTTGGCTCAGCGGGCTGGTGAGGACCATGAACACCTAAGTCTACAGACGGATCGTATGCGTTGAGATCGGCGGACGAAGAAGCTGGTATATGAGAAGACTCGATGGCCGCAGGGTCCTCGGGGACAGACTCGGCCTTCGGTGTCAGGGTGCGTTCTTTGATCGGTGTCGACTCCCACTCGCCCTCACTGTCGCTGGTGTCTGAGTCGTCATTGGGAATCTGGAGCCTAATACTAGGGCTTCTGTGTTTCAGCTTATTGCGAAATGGTGTGTCGAAGATGCTGTGTCCGGAGAACGAGGTATCGGTTGGCGAAATCTCCTCGTGCACTCCAAGAACAGTATGCGGTCTTCGATTTGGTGTGACGGGCTGCAGCCTGCTCTTAAAAGCTGTTTTCTTCTTGTCGCTATCGCTCAAATCAGTTCGCAAACCATCAATGTCCAGCTTCCCAAGCCATCCTTTGATGCAATCAAAGTCCTCTGTCTCTGTTACATCCACACCCGTCGCAACGAGCTTTCTTGTAGTCCCCATACTACCTAATGGCTTGTTTTTGGAAGTGACAACGAGCAAAGGTGTGTGGATGTCGAGGTGGTGAGGTCGAGCAGAGATTGGCGTGGGTGGCACCGACTCATGGTGAACTTGACTACGCTAGCACTGCAGCAAGAGAAGTAAGAGATGAGCTCCACATGCATTTGTGATGCAGGGTAAAGCTACTATCTGTGTTTTCTTAGATATGTAGAGGAACCAAGGACTTGTGAGGAAGATTTGAATTCAGGGCAATGGTCCAGAATTGTGGTTGATGCAAACAGATTAAGCATCACCCTTACATCGCATGGTGGAAGTGCTAACAACAGCAAGGTACTGTGACCTAGTCGTCAATCTGAGCTCTATGAAATACTCTTTATAGAGACGTTGTAGATGAGGCGTAGGCAGACCTGCTCCTTGCTGGCACAGTACAGAATTTGGCCAGCGACATTTTCCAGTACAGGACTTGTTTGCACGGAATTGGCCTTGACAGAGTTATTAAACTTCTCTTTTCCTGAGCCTACAGTTCTTCAATAAGATCTTTACCTGTCAGCCAACCCACAGATGATTATGGCATTATTGTATGACCACAGTATGCCTCCCTCACAAGATCATTTGAGGTTACAAATATGATGTGTTGATTCGATTTATCATGTAAGTGTATGCACGGGATGCCATTCGATTACTTCAGGATGCGTCCCTCAGCAGCTTCCTCGGCATGCTGCCTGATACGACCGAGCACCTTCGCCTCCTCGTCGACAATGTCCGGTAGGAGATCAAATATGCTCTTCTGTTTTGGAGTCCACCCCAGAAGCTTGTTGGCGCGAATAGACCTGCACCTTGAATTGGTACCCCAGAGGTAGCTGCCAAATGGTCGCATCTCATCTGCCTCTTCTTTGCTCACATTGTCGATGCCATCATGATTGATCAGTTTGTTCTTGAATGCAATCTCTCCGATCTTGCGTCCGACGTCGCCCCAACAGAAATCTCCGTTCTCTGCAAAGTAGTATCCTTCCGTATTCCATGATGCCTTGCCGCCATCAGGTGATAGGGCAGCTGTTACTAGAGCTAGGTAGAGCTCACTGAGGTCTTGCACATGCACCTGGGTCCAGATGTTTTCGCCATTGCCGACAACGAAGCCTTTCATGCGCTTCAGTGCGAACTTGGTCATGTCGTAGACCTGTACACTACGCTGATTGCCTGGGCCACGACCAGGGCCATAGATGCATGGTGGGCAGACGATAGCCGACTGTATCTTGCCCGCCGATGCTTGATTGGATCCAAGGATGATCTTGTCAACATTCCGATGAAGGGCCACATCAGGGAGCGAAGTAACTTCACTGATGTGGTCCCAGTCATCATAAACCTTGTCGCGTTTGAAGCCATAGGTACTGGATTCGAAGTCTTCGAAAGAGAGCACACCAGTACCAGAAGTATGGATGAGGTGTGTCTTTCGTCCACTCTGGCTAAGACCAGCGACAAGAGCGGTGGCAGAGGCCACGTGATCACAGTCTGCGGTATGAAGGACGATATCCGCGTTGCAAGCCTCGGTAGTAAGTAGGTCGGTACTGTCAAGGGTGCCGTATACAAGGCGGGTCTTGGGGTATTGTGCGGCGACCTTGGCACCTTTGTCGCTGTTACGGACAAGTGCAGTGATTTCCAGGTCAGGATACTTGTTTGCGATGGTGTAGAGGGCGTCGCCCCCAATGTAGCCGGTGGCACCTGTGCTAGTATCTGATTAGTGGGTATACTTGTGGCACATGGTGAAGGGGAATTTTGACCTACATGAAGAGCTTGGTCATGTTGGAGTTCGTGAGTGGTTGTGGTAGCAGGCTTGGATGTGACAGATCAATTGGGAGAAGGTAGGCGTGTTGAATTGAATCTTATGTATGTACGATTCGCAGAAGCGGAGTTGTACGTCACATAATCCCTGCCTATGGCTTACATAGCCAATCATGGCGGACTGGTTCGTGGCTTACTCATACGTCACAGCTGTACGTAGATGGATGAGGTAACTATGCTGTGCAGATGCTTGGCGCGTCATGGTTAGTCGGTCGTACCTGACCTCGGGTGCGGCGCTTGAGCCAGTTGCTGACTAGCTCGCTCACGTAGCAGCAGCGACCTGCGTCGACATGAAAGAAGAAAGAGTAACACGGCTACGCTTCTGAACTGCGACTGCAACGGAAATTCGGCGATAGCTTCAAACAAGGCTCCATCGCCATCATGGACATCATCCAGGCCGTCTCCGGCTACATTACCAAGATGGTGTCGGCTGGAGACAGCGCGGCGACAGGCACCTCCGCGGCCAAGATGAAGATCCTCCTACTCGACAACGAGACTGTGGGTTTGTCTGCTCTGCCGAGAGATGATATAGTAGATACTGACTGAGGCATAGGTGTCGATCGTGTCGACGGCGACGACACAATCCGCCCTCCTCAACCATGAAGTCTACCTCACAGAGTAGCGCTTCCCCCCCTTGCGACACATTGCGCGATACAGGGCTAACGCTATGGTAGCCGCCTGGACAACCAGAAGCGCGAGAAGATGCGCCATCTGCGCTGTCTGTGCTTCGTGCGACCCTCGCCCGAGTCTATCCAAAGCTTGATTGAAGAGCTACGAGAGCCCAAGTATGGTGAATACAACATATGTATGTACGCCCACGTGGAGAAAGTCACTAGTTGGAGCTATTGTTGGCTGACGAATGGTAGACTTTAGCAACATAATCAAGAAATCGGCTCTAGAGCGCCTCGCCGAAGCAGACGACCATGAAGTCGTACGCGCAGTCCAAGAGTACTTTGCAGACTTCCTCGTCATAAACCCCGACCTCATGTCCCTCAACCTCGGCTTCCCAAACCACCGGATATGGAGCACAAGTCCCGACTCGTGGAACCAGGATGCGCTACAACGCTCCACCGAGGCCGTCATGGCGCTGCTGCTGTCGCTGAAAAAGAAGCCCTTAATACGATACCAGAAGAACAGCCTGCTGGTCAAGAAACTGGCAACCGAGGTCCGCTACCACATGACACAGGAAGAGCAACTGTTCGACTTCCGCAAAACAGACACCCCGCCCATTCTGCTGATTGTAGATCGAAGAGACGACCCCGTCACGCCGCTGTTGACACAATGGACATACCAGGCCATGGTGCACGAGTTGCTGGGCATCCATAACGGAAGGGTGGATTTACGCGATGTGCCAGAGATACGACCAGAACTCAAAGAGATTGTGCTATCACAAGATCAGGATCCCTTCTTCAAGAAGAACATGTACCTCAACTTTGGTGATCTAGGTCAGAATGCAAAAGAATATGTCGAGCAGTTTGCGTCAAAGCAGCAGGGTTCACAGAAGCTTGACTCGATAGCAGACATGAAGCGCTTTATCGAAGATTTCCCAGAGTTCCGCAAGCTCTCTGGTAATGTCACAAAGCACGTCACTCTCGTGGGCGAGTTGAGCAGACGAGTGGGCGAAGAGAGCCTACTTGACATCAGCGAGCTTGAACAAAGTTTAGCATGTACAGACAACCACTCCAACGACGTAAAGTCATTGCAAAAGATAATCCAAGATCCAAACGTCCCGGCAAACAACAAGCTTCGCCTCGTTGCCATTTACGCACTACGCTACTCAAAGACATCCTCAAACTCGACGGCCATGCTGCTCGATTTGCTCGCCGTTGCCGGCGGATTATCGCGGCACCGCATCAATCTAATTACCAAGCTCCTGACGTACCATGACTCGCTACAAACCACTACGGCAGCTGGTGGGGTACCAGACCTTTTTCAACCCGGCTCATTCTTCGGCGGAGCCCGAGACCGACTCAAAGGCCTCAAAGGTGTCGAGAACGTCTACACGCAGCATTCTCCCCGTCTAGAGGCCACGCTACAAGACATGATAAAAGGTCGCCTGAGCCAGCAGCTGTACCCATTTGTAGAGGGTGGTGGATCAACCAAAGACAAGCCACAGGACATCATTGTCTTCATGGTTGGTGGAGCGACATATGAGGAGGCCAAGATGGTAGCCCAGGTTAATGCTAGTTCGCCTGGCATCCGTGTTGTGCTTGGCGGCACAACGATTCATAACAGCACCTCGTTCTTAGAAGAGGTCGAGGACGCTGTAGATTCATGGCCGGAACCACCCGCTACATCAGCCGCGGCGCGATTGAAAAGAGAGGTAGGCAGGTAGCGTAGCAGTTACTAGCACAAGATGGGTAATTGCTTCTTCATTGGTGCCGAATTCAGTCTTAATCTAGTGTGGAGAAAGCTGCTGCTCGAGGTTGCCAATACATGCAATCTCTTTATGTACTGGATCATGCCCGACGATGCCCAAGGAATTCACATTTGGTACCGGAAGACCCCACGTGTTTAATTTTGTGTCTAGCATCTGCAGTCATCGTGGTCTATGATACCATCTCACAGTCAGCTTCGTAAAGGCAAAGAGGGAGATACTTGACGTCATTTCACTTCATCCGAAAAGGGATGCTGACCTTTCCGATCTTGTCCACGAGCTTTTTCATTTTGCACGTGCTTATCTCATCTCATCTTACCATCCCAGCAATCGCGTCTCACCTTCCCCATGAGCTCGTCTCACCCGAGACTTATGGTTGGAGAACCTTCCCATGCGATCTATAACTCCAAATGTCGGATCGTGAGTATCGGTAGAGACGTCGGCTGCTGGACACTTCGGCCCGACTTCGGCCCACCTTGCGCAGAGCTTAGGTATACCTTCGTAGCAGCTATGTTCGTAGACAATCAATCACCATCACCGAACAGAATGCATTCCTAGTTATCGTTATTTCCTTTCAGCACTAGTGCTATAGACCTTCCAACACCAAAGCTGTTTGTATTTCTCATGTGGCTCTGCTTTGTTCCGATCTGTACCATGAGCATGCCGCTGGCTTACTCAAAGTATTCACGGAGTTAAATACACACGGTGCAATAGCGGGTGATCCAGTTCGGTCCTATACCTAGGTAAGCCTTAGTTATATGTATCAAAAGTCTTTAAAAAATCGTATTGGTACTGGGCCTCATAAGCACCATATGAACATCTCGATCGAATCAAGGGCTGGAACCTGATCCAATCAAGGATTATCATCAATCAGCCACCAACTTCTCTCATGTATCAACTCGCCCAGCTTATTGACTGACTGAGCATCATCTCACATGGTGATTGTGTGGCGATGTCTGTCCGTTGCTGAGAGTATATAAGACTGACCACATCTCTTCGGTTACATGCTCATCCAAGACAACTCAGAGATCATATTTTACTCATACCCATTCAACGGTCTTTTCCGTCATTTATCCACTCCATACCTCTTCAGCGCATCAAAAGTCGACCTCTCGGATAATCATCATGCGTACAACCGCCGTTCTCCTTCTCGCTACCCTTTTGAGCGTTACAGAAGCTGCCCGCCGTCAATGCGCACCCACGAAAGGGCGCCCGAACTATGGATACTACCCGCTCAAAGCCGCTGACAACATCGAAGCCGTCAAGCTGGACTTTTGCGCAGTTGGCACAAACAATATTGCTAGATTGAACCCTCGTCTCAAATATCCCTTCAAAGCTGGCGACTATCTCGTCGTTCCCTGCAAGCCTGCCAAACGCGATTGTAGGGGCGGCGCAAACGGCATTGGTTCTTACCACATTGTGGAGGGCGACGAGTTGAATCCAATTGCCCGAGACTTCTGTACCACTGCAGAACGTTTGGTCCAGATGAACCCCGAGAAAATTAAGAACAAAGATTTCATTCCAGCTGATGTGACCATCAATGTTCCATGCGCTTTCCACTAGGCATGCTAAACTGGATATTCCAACTCGAAGTCCTGTGGCTCTCTCGCTTTGGAAGGAAGCGCGTGTCGCATGTGACATATCGAGAGATGGAACACACACTCAACCGGAAACTCCATTACAGACGACAATGCTCTAGTCTCACTAAACCAATATGGTACCGGGCCATGGGGACATGGCATGAATGGCTTGGTCCAGAGTTGGAAGGTAGAGAACAAATCATTTGTTGAGGTAGTCGGGCTTAAAAGTAATCTTGGTGGTTAGTCCTTTAGAAGGTCGGGCTTCAACGAAATTTTAGTGGTAAATCTTTTTCCTTGCTCCTGTTTTTTGCTAAATTTGCTTGATTACAGTCGATGATGTGAGTGAAAAAGTCCAGTCTTAATACGCATGGGGACCTAGTTATAGAGCGGGGGATGTTATTTAGCGATAGAGCATGTAGCTTTGATCTATGAATAGGGATTGGACATGCGGTTCATCGTTCCATCTACATACCTAGGTGACATTAGATACTTGACATGTTAGTATGTAGAGACTACTGCAGGCGCCAGACACGCCTGGAGGATCAGGGGTGACGGATAAGTCTTACACACGCTGTCGCTGTCGGAAATTTTACGTCAACCCGGTGCTACTGCCATCTAAATGAGTAAAGACTTGTACAATATCCACTTGCTTCGTCCGAAACACTTGATTGGATATGAATCTTGTATGAGAATTTTGACCATAACACGAGAATATCGCTATGATGTTCAATCGTCTCGTCGACTACACGAAATAACATGATACAGTCACGAGATGGTGATGATCGCCGTGTAGCTTAGTTTGCAAATATAAATCTTAGCCATTCACCTAGAGGCTTGAATACAAAGTTTTGTATCAGAAGGTTAATCGGAGAGCTTGTTTAGGGACAAGCGGGATATGCCGCGAGATTTATGTCGTAGGGTGGCGTGGTGTGGTGTTGCGGAGATGGCGCCAAACCCGCTTACTGTAGGTTACTACCTCGCCTCCACAACCACAACCTGTACAGTAGAGCCATTGGGCTAGTTTATTGATGCCTTAGGTCTAAGTATAAGGAGCTTTGCGCAAAACCGGATAGCTCAAGTCTGCATGATACTGGTGTGTGCCACACAACGCAACGAGCATTGGACTGAAAGGCGGTCCGGTGAAGCCTGAGGCGGGGCCAGCTACCTTGGCGGCACAGCCAACATGGAGAGCCTATGGGAAAGCCTACGACTGACAGTTGTTGAGTTGGTACCTGCATGACTCCGAAGGCGGCGAAAAGTCTGCTAACCCCTCGAAGCCAAGAGCTTCACGCAAGGCTGAACACGTGCATGTAGGCGATGACCGAGTGTTAAAGCCATAAGACGCCGGGTGTCCAGCGGGCCGACGTCCGATCGCTATTCTCCACCATCACCACAGCCACCCTCCGAAACCTCACCCGATGGCGCGAAGATGAGGATTGTGAGACATGCCAGAACACGGTCAGGTCTTGCAGTCTCGAGTGGTCCGCCGCAGAAACCCACGCCCCATTAACTCGTGTGTCGAGTGTCGGACACGCAAGTCGCGATGCTCCAAAACGCATCCCTGCCAAAACTGCACAGCCTTCGGACGCGAATGTATCTTCATCACCGTCCCTGAAAGCGCGGCGCGCAAGAAAGAGAGGGAGCAGAGAGAGCGTGCGCAGAGCAAGAGCGGTTCTGGTGTAACCATCCCGGATTGGACCAAGAATCTCCCTGTGCGCACGCAGAGTGGCGCCAGTTTGCCCGATGGGTACGACAACGCGAACTCTGTCGACACCACCACGCCGGGAACGCCGCCCCGCGACTATGAGTGGGAAGCCTACCAGCAAGATGTTGAGCCCGAGACAGACGCCTGGGAGAGGCTGCCTGCGGAACCCGAGGAGACGCAGGATGATGTGTACGAAGATGAGGACGATGACGAAGATCAGATTGCGACGGATCTCACGATTCGAATCGGGCGGATGATTATTTGTGAAAATGTTACTGGTTTCTTCCGTCCCCAGTATGCCGAAGAGGTACTTTCTGCCCTATCCACGTCTGTTTGTCCTGCGTTTTGCATTGCCTGATCTTGAACGCAAACTGAAATGCTGTGTAGCTCGGCAAGCTGTTGTCTGAGAGCACCACACCGGCCGCGTCAGTCGCAGGCCAAAGGGCAACGCAGTCGTCGGCTCTCCTATCAGCCGAACAAATGCCGTCGCTCGCACCGTCTCTGAATCTACTCCTTGGTGGTTCGCTTTCTGTGCACCAAGGTAATGATGTTCAAGCCCCGCAGTTGCCGACCAAGATGGAGGCAGAAGCCCTATTCCAGCGGTATACCGAGGCTGTCAGTCCACTGGCCCATGTCCTGCATTTGCCATCCTTCAAGCGACTATTTGAACGCTTCTGGATGAACATTGAAATCGGGAATCCAAACCAGAACTCATGCACTGCCTTGATCTTGGCCGTCTGTATGGCCGCAGCCGCGTCTGTCTCCCCACTGCAAGCCAAGTCGCAGTTTGGCATTACCAAAGAGGACCTGTTCCTGAGGCTGCAGAAAGCTACTGAGCGAGCATTACTGCGCGCGAATTGGGCGAAGACGTCCAACATAAGGACTTTACAGGCCTTGACAATCTATCTTGTACGTGACTGGGATGTTATTGGCAACTCAAGTACCCGTTAACACATTTAGATCCCACTTTGTCGTGCGCAAATCTCCCGAGCAACATCTGTTGTAGTCGGCGCCCTGGTTCGTCTGGCTCAGTGCATAGGCATACACCGCATGAGCCACAGCTCGGCCAACAGTCTGACACCATTACAACGGCACGTGCGATCTCTCCTCTGGTACCAGATCTGCTTTCTGGACTTTAAGACAGCAGAGGCCCAAGGTCCCCATCCCTCGATACGCGCCGATGACTTTGACATTGCTCTGCCTCTCAATGTCGACGATGATGTCTTCGAGTTTGGTAGCCCAAGCTGGCAACAGCATCCAACTTCCACAAACGGATGGTCGGACGTTACACTGTCACTAATTCGGTATGAATGCAACGAGATCCATCGTCTCATATTCCGTGGCAGGATTGAAATGGATCGCAAGCACATTACCTTGCACGATCTACGTGCCAGGGTCGAAGCAAAGAAGCGTCAGATCCAGTCAAAATACCTCCAGTATCTCGACGCCAACGTCCCTATACAACGATACGCGGGCCTAGTAGCGACCCTTCTCATGTCACGCTGCGATTCGATGCTCCTCTACCGCCATCTGCCCCAGACATCCCTCCAGCCGCGTTCAGACTCTGAAAATCGGCTCCGCGATGTGCTCCTCGCCGCAGCTCTCACAACACTCGAGATAGGTGCGACACTAGACACGCTCCCCTCGCTCTCATCTTGGGCCTGGTATTCGACAACGTACCAACAATACCATGCTGTTCTACTTCTCCTCACCGAACTCTACCGCACGCCCGATCTGCCCCGCAAAGAGCGCATGGCCACCATCATCGACCACATCTTCGGGCATTGCTACGGCGTAGGTGTGCGAGAACGCTGTTCAGACCTGCTCTTTACCGTAAAGGAAAATCTAGAAGCCTTTTACGTGATGAAAGGGTTCAATAAAAAACGCCAACATGTCGCTCCACAGCAACATCCTACTTTGCAGCCTCTGCCCTCGTTCGGCGGCCCTAGTGGTGGCTCCGTCACAAGCCCGTCATTTGGCGCGCAACAAACGCCACCGCATAATATCCACAGTCAGCTGCAGAGAACGCCGACAACGGGAACACTCGACGGTCTTAATGTCGATTTTGACAGTATCCTCGGGAGTTTGAATGGCGGCGGCGGCGGCGGCGCAGAGGATTTCGATGTGTGGAGTGCCATGGGTGGTGCAGCAGGCCAGCAGGATACAGGCGCCATTTTCGTACCTGTCGATACGGCGGCGCATCACAACGAGTTTGGGACTAGGAGTCCAAACGGCGGATTGCAGCAGTGGGTAAGTTATGACCAATCGTGTGCAATTATAACTCAGGTTGGAATGCTGACGGTGCGGTTAGGAGAACTGGAATTTTCCGTCTCAACAGCAGAAATACGAGCAGTGATGTGTGGACCCGGCGTAATCAGAAGATTCTTACGTCGGTGTAGTCGCCAGACCACGCCAAGATTGATTACAGCTTGTTCACGGTGGGACGCACGACTGTTCCTCCACTGTACGACTGCTCGATGCTCGCACAAAAAGTACATAGAATTGACACAATTGCATGCGAGTAATAAAAAAACTGTATTAAGAGACCGCAACTGATGCCGTCTCGATGCTAGAATGCGCCGTAGGAGTGGCCATGGTCCAAAACACCGCCAACAAAGACACAAGATAGACCGACAATCAAACGCCATATACGCCGAGCCGTGCTGGGGTGAGTGATGCAAACCCAAATTTTGAATTGGTGAAGCTCGAACAAGAACTGCAAGCACCTGGGCACTGGCTTTACCAACTAGTGACTCTGACGGAAGACGACATGAGCTCTGCGTCACGCACGTGTTAGCAGAAGATGTCAAGAGCAGATGCTGGAAGCAGCCTAGTAGCGTGCTAGCTGAGTCTCACTCAACGCACTTCGCTTCATTGGAGGTGGAGGTGGCGGCGGCTTCTTCGCCCTTGATGGGGGCGGTGGCGGCGGGGCTTTCTTGCCGTTGCCTCCCTGATCAGAGGCCGCGGTCCAGCTTGCAGCCCTCGAAATTGCGCTGCCGCGTGCGCTACCAACAGACGACGCGGTGTCCGGGCTCGGTGGCGATCGATCGCGGTCGTTGCGTCGATAACTATTGCCGTTGCTGGCGGAAGCATCGTAGTCGTCGTCTTCGTAGTCGTCGGCAAAAGCATTTTGTTGAGTGGAACTGGCGCGACGCACTGGACGCAGATTGTTACGACCAGAGGATATGGTAGAGGAATCGGTAGGGACGCGGGCCAATCGGCGGGCCGGGGAGTCCTCTCGGGCAGAGTTGTCGTAGGTAGAAGTACGGCTGATGGAGGGGCGCAGAGAGTAGCCACTGGGAGATTGGTCGGGTACGGGGGAGCGGCTTCGCTGTTTAGATAACTTGGGGATGGTCATGCGCGTTGGCTCTGGCTCTGGCTCTTCTTCTACCGGATTGAAGCGCTCGGCGTAGCCATGGGCCGTATTGGACCGAGATCGTGCTGGGCGAGAGGCCAGGGCCCGGTTCTCCCTATTTCACGGGTCAGCAGTGCTTACGCTTCCTGGACAGTGCTCAGTGGTGCTCACCTAACCGGCCATTCCCGCTTCACCGTCAGGAGTATCTCACGGCAGCGGTCGTAGTAGCTGAGTTCGGCCTCGAGGAAGGCAGTCAGGTCCTGGACCATGTCGACCTCGGACTCCTTGATGTCCTGCATCCTTCGGAACACCTCCTCGCTCGTCTCCTCGTACTTTGCCTTTTGCGAGCGAAGTTCCTCCTCCATGCGGAAGTCCTCCTTCTTCGTCTTTTGCATCTTGGCGAGCGACGTGTCATATGCGAGCCGGCGCGTCTCGAGCTTCTTGCGTGTGGCCTGGCCGTGGTAGTTAGTATCGTGAGCCGACTTGTAATGCATCCGACTCTTGTGCCTACCTGGTACTCTTTCATTTGGACGAGGGAGCGCTCAAGGCCCTCGAGCCATGATGACGTAGCACTGGCTACATATGTCTCTTGCACTCTTGCCAGACGCTCGTTTGCGCGGCCCAGGGCTGGCAATCACATCAGCATATGTATGGCATGCAAGGTTGCAGTATGGGACGGAACCTACAAGACAGGCACATTCCGAATTCCGAGTCGGGTTCAAAGTCCTCGCCGTGCGTCACCATGGAAGAGCCCAAGTGACCGCCTGGCAGCTGCTTCTCCTTGTCGGCGCCCTCTGCGCGCTTGGAGAGCGACTTTACATAGACGGCCATGGCCTGCTGCATCTTGTCCATGCCTGTGGTAATCTCGTCAGCATCTCAATCTCTGGCAGCTGTAGGTCCCAAGACTCGTGCATACATACCCTCATGACGCAGGTTCATCTCCACCTCGAGCGCCTTGAACTCGTCCGACAGGCCGGTGCGGGCTTCGGCGCCCATCTTTTCGTTTGTCCATTGCTTGAAGCGATCGAATTTCTTCGTGACATTCATGTTTGGTGTGGTGTGGCGTGGCGTGTGTGTGTGTGTAGTTGTGTGGGGATGCGTATGTGTGGTGTGTGTACGGTAGAGGCCAGCAAGACCAAAAGAGGCGGAATGACGGTGGTGGGGATGTGATAACGGTAAAGTGCTTGTGCTGTGCAGGGAATAACTATCGATACGTGCACCCAACCGCAACCATGGAGGCGGAGGAGAGAGCAGGGGAGGGACAGCGGGACAGTTCAACACGCAGCGACAAGACGTGCAACAAGCAATTGCACGACTAAAGAAGGAAGCAGCAGTCAATCAGGGGCTTGGAATCGAGACAGGAGACTGGTTTCGTATCTGTGGACAGTTTGTGCGGCAGAAGCAAATGCTGGGAAGAGCCAACGCGTGTTCAATGTACCCAGACCCATTATTGACGCGTCTAGCCACTCTGTCACTCGCCCGCCTGTATAGTCTCCGTTTCTCCGTTTGAACCCACCACGTCTACCTACCACAACTCTGATCTATCTTTGGCATCTCGACGTCGGCAACTCCCGACTCCACATAACCATCCAGTCTTTGTTGCCGCTGAAGGCCGCTCAGTGTCATCGCACCGTCTCATCCATCTCGTCGAGCACATGTCCTGTCTTGCTAAGTTTCAGCCCTGCCCATCAGCATCTCACCAACCAAGTGACTTTTGTTAGCCGCTCTCCTGTCTCCGCCGTCGTCACCACAGGCCGAGCAAATCACCGCGAGCAGGACCACTCGTCTTGACCGTCGGATTTGCCATGGCGCCCAGCTATGGCATGCACATTGCCATCATGTGCAGCCATACGACGCAGAAGCCTTCTAGTGCGCCGTCCAGACTCTCCAGGATGCAGGAAGCGCCCTATATCTCCTTCCTATATCAAGACGGTTCATCTTGGCTGCAGCCAACACGGTAGCCTTTGCAAGTCGAGCCCAAATCCTGCACATGGTTGATCGCCTGGAACTTGCTGTCATCGGTGACCTACACATGTGCGCAGACGAGAACCTTGGACGGCCGGCCAGTCACGTTTCCAGCACCATGATTGATGCGAGTACATGTCACTCTCACTTGCGCCGGTTGCATTATCGCGCTTCCTGGATGCTCAGATTGCTTCTAGTGGAGATTCGGCGCATGCGTCCACATGTACATGTACATGATCGATCAGTGCACTTTAGGACACGTGATTTGGTAAGCGCCAACCTGACTTCGCAATCCGCAACCTCAAATTCGCCTCTAGTTCCACGCACACCAACAGCACTCCAACAACGCCTTCACATCGCTGTTCATTGCACACGATGAATGCACGCAATCGCATTCCTTTAATTGCGCAATTTTTCCGCCTCTCCCGGCCTGCTCATCCCCGATATCTCCATGGTAGAACGCAGCGTCTCTTTAATCGTGCTCGCCCGGTGTGCAGCTATCTAGATTCCAAAGCAGCAGATACAAGTGAAGATGTGACGAGAGGTGGGTGTGCAGGCGCTGCAACTTCAGCACTGCACGAATATTCGAATATCCAGCAGCAAAGGCGGCAGGCAGACATGCAACCATGCAGCCACTATAAACGCCGTAGATGCAGTCTGGAAGACGTCTAGTATCGTCTAATTAGTTCCTATGCTTCGTACATGCATCTCGTGCTAGTTGGCTTAGTCGTAGGCTTTCGGAGTCTATTAAAGAGAAGGAGCGATTCATCAGAGGTTTACCTGCGATACCCGGCAACACCAAATAGCTCTGGAATGTTGTGCGCGGCTGTGGAATCTACGGGGCGCGCAATCGCTGAGTACCCCCGCACAATCGGTGCCCTCAAAATCTCGGACCGGCACCATTGGGACGACCACGTACATGTGCAGAAATCAACCACATCTAGCGCTGAGATGTAAGGGGCCATCAAAGTCTTGCAAACTCTACCCTCGTGTTGTTTTTTTCACCCGGTACTTGGGATTTGAAGGCTGGGACATGATGGCATGGGATACTTGACACGCTAGTGTACAAAGGCCAATGTAGGCGTCCGACACGCTTATTCGGTGCTTAGCCACGCTGTCAAGTATTCCTTTGGCGCCCGGGTACTCTAGGGTCTATTATACTAGAGCTGTTGCTCTGGGAGAGAAGAATGTCGAAGTCGTGCTAGTGGTGGAATATCTCGCTTCTCAGAGCTGGACCGTCGCGAGTTGTAAATGGGTGGAAGAAGTACAGTAACATGAAATTCACAAATGACACATTTGAAATGAAGAAACTGGATTTGCCTTGCCTACTCTACATATCGACCTTGTTCAAATGCGCCTGGTGATTGCTGCACCAAACAAAGACAGGCCAGGTGTATCAAACTATTGTCCTGATATCCGGCTACAGGGATCTATTTAGTCGATCTCTTGTGCTAGCGAAAAGGCATTACCTCATGCGTGCCTAACCGTGCTCTGTTCGCAGTTCCTCTCCTCGTCCCGCAGCCCAGCCCCAACTACAATCACCAACATCAACCCACACAACTCAGCAACCATGGCTGACTCGGACTCGTCCCTATCGTCTGCGCCCCCAACCGATGACGAGATGGAGGTTGAGGTCCCAGAAGCGACGACAAAGAAGGCGACACCGCAGAAAAAGAAGAAGAACGGCACTATCTTGACCTTTTTCAAGCAACGCTCACCGTCGCCGCCCCCAAGAAAAAGGGCAGCGTCACCGCCACATGAGCCTGTTCCGGAGGATAATCCAGACATTGCTGTACGTATTGGACGCGTCGGTCGCGTCAGAACGCGCCGCGTTAGACGACAATCGCGAAGCGCCTCACCTTATGGACATGGCTAATACTACGGCGCATAGTTTATTGTAATGTTCCGGTCACGATTCAACGAAGCATTCCCACGCGGTTCTCCTCATGTTGGGCCCCAAGACATCGAGCTGGGTGTCGCAGAAGACACGCCGTCGGCCGATGTTGAGGGCTTGCTATGCGCCCTGCTCGGACTTGTCCTCAATCGCAAGAAACCTGTCGAGTCAGTCCGGCCCCTTTGCACTTTCCAAATACAAATTCCACGGTCGCGAGGGTATTGTCGACCGTATGAAAGGGTGCATATGCTGACGTTGTCGTACTATACAGAAAGGGTCACTATGGTCGCGCTCTCGAAGAGGCCATCCAAACCCAGAAATCACAATGGCCAAGTAAATGGACGGGCAACCCCCTCAGTGGTGGTCGCAACTTCAACACCATGACGGCAGAAGAACGAGTGCGTAGTCGCCATAGCCGATTGTCGCCCAATGCTAACCGTCTCACCAGATTACCCTCCTCCATTCCCTTTGCCTCTGGAGCCTGAACCAGAACGAGCAAATCAAAGCCATCATCAGTAACGCATACAAGTCTCGATCTACCAAGGACAAACTAGACACAAATATACCCTTGTCGGTGCAAGCTTGGGGTCGCGACGGCGACAAGCGTCGGTACTATCTAGTCGAAGGCCAAAATGATACCCACTTCCGCATCTACCGTGAAAGCGACCCGAAGCTGAAGAAGGTGCAATGGATCAGTGTTGCTGGGTCGATTGAGGAATTGAGAGTGCTTGCCAAGAAGCTGGAAGAGGAGGATGGGCACAAGGAAGCTAGGGCACTGGGCGAGCGCATGCTAAACGCTATCCCACGCTTCGAGGCCTCAGAAAACGTAGGCTCTACCCACCTCGACGAACATGTTTTGCTTGTACTAACAAAACCCCTATAGAAACGCAAGCGTCGCGAATACACGCGCCAGCGCAAGGATGCTTTCACACGCCCCGAACCCGGCTTCGCCCCATACGAAATGCGCACCCGTGGCAAGCGCCAGCGATACACGTACGATGAAGAGGATGATTTCGACTCGGATAACCTCTCTGTCCGACGATCGGGGCGACAGTCAGCTCGCGACACACCGGCCGCACCCTCAGGTCCTACCGTCACCGCCAGCGGCCGACAAGTCCGGTCTCGCGCAACCGGCCTCTATGGCGAGATACTGCACAGTGGACAAGTCACCGACCACGGGTCGTCTGTAAACGGAGACTATGTACGCTCAGACATGTCCGAGGAGCCACAGCTCGGCCACGGTCGAGCAACACGCGCTGCCAACAGAGGCACCACGAACGGCCGTGTGTTGGAACGAAGACTCGACTCGGACGACGAGGACGCCACATCTTGGGATGGTGGAGACGATGACGAGGAAGAAGTGGACCAGATGGAGCTGGACGACGATGATCAGGACGCAGCTGGTGATTCGTCAGAGGACGAAGACGAACAACATTCCCTCATCGTCACTCTACACTATCGCAAAGGCGCATCTGATGCACCTGCAGCCCCTCAAGGCGAAGACACGGTCATGACAAATGGCATCGACGATGAGATTGCCGCACAAAAGAAAGCGCTTCTCGAGCCATCAACAGCAACAGCCGCCGTAGTCCCCAACGGCCTCCCTGAGTCGTCGGAACAAGTGTCTGTCACAGCTGCTGGCCACCAAGCACTTTGTAATAATACAGATGCGCTACCCAAACTAGACGGGTTCTTTTCTGCTCCCACACCACCATACAGCGCTCCGGACGAGGCCCCAAAGCCCCAACAGCAGCAACCCACGGATATCTCTCCCGCCAGCATCAGCGCTCCCACACAACAACCTGTGTCTACACCTACTGCTAGCTGGCAGTAAAGCGGGCATTGTTCGAGTTGATTTGAACAGACGAGAAGCGGTAATTCTTAGTCTCTCCGCCTGTATTCCGGACACAGAGGGCCATGCGCGAATAGAAACCTGCGAGGGATACCCATGGCGTTTCTATTTTCATCTTTTTCCACATCACATTTACATGATTGAGCGATTATAGGTCCAAGGTGGGAATCTTATTTGTCTGTTGGGCTTGCGAGTCAGATAGGAGCAGTCGCATTATTTGCTGTGCAAGACTAATACGACCATGGTTGCTTGTGTTGTCTCTAGTCGTATGAATGAATCATCATACGAACTTTTATCTGGTACATTGCAAGATACATGAATGACGCTTTCCCCGCGACGCCCTTGCTTGCTGATATATCATATTGTACAAATTTTACTCATTTCGTCAAGTTATACATGGACAGGCTGTGTGTCATCGAGGCAAGGCCCCTGGTATGGCCTTAGCAATACCCGTAGTCGTCCTACTCTGGAGTTTAGGTCTACCCGACCCCGTCGTTCTTTCCCGCTGCTCACCTCGCCAGCGCATGCCATCTGCACGGTCGTCCCTGCCTCGACTGCGCTCTTGCGACGCGCTAGGTTTGCGGACGCCTGCTCTTATTTCTGCTTCCCGCATTTTCGCACCTTCTGCTTCTATGCGCTCTTCCAGCGTCACGTTCTCGGCTATGGGACTGGGTATGTAGGACGTTGAACCAGGAGCTGTGCCGTTACCGTCCACGACGGCGAAATCATCCTCGTCTAGTCCTTCTTCCCCTTCTGCTGCTGCTTCAGTGTCCTCGGGGGCTCCGCCTCTGGTATTGTGTTTTCGTGGCCAGAGCGAGGGGAGGACGATCTGCTGGAAACGAGGTTCGACGGCGCGCTCGTCGAACCAGGCATGGACGCGGGATTCGATGAGTTGCGCAATCTTAGGCACGTCCTGAAGCCGCGAACGTGATCCGACTAGCGACCGCACGGAAAGATCGAGTCGGTAATCATCGAGGAAGGTGAATGCCAGCGTCGTTGGTCGATGCGGTGGCGCGCCAGAGGAGGATGCAGGGCGGCTTGGAGAAGAGCTGCGATGCGTGTTGCTTGTCGGCGACGGCATGGGCGCTGTGGTAGACGGAGGCGATGAGGAGGGTATAAATGACATTGCCAGGGTTCCCGAGAAGCGCACAATGCTCACGGCCAGCGCAACTGGCAGAACTGCAGACATGGGCTTTGGCCAGTTCAAATTCAACGTCGTTTCGACACCGATGGTGATGACGTCGCTCAGATCAACATCCATTCGGGCCTGTAGCCTTTCCTTGTCGTTGCCTGTGCTTCCTGGTCCATACCAGAATCCATCTTCCGCGGGCATGACTCTGCAGTTACTGAAGATGGGGAATTCGTCGCCCAGCGCTATCTCCGTCACCTTGATCTCGCCTATCCAGTCGGGCTTGCTGCCCGTGTTGAGCACCTCGGTGAGTGAGGTAAGAATGGCATCGTCCTGTCGCGCATCGGCTCGCAGCTGTGCTATGGTTTGCGCAATGAGCACGTTGAACCAGTCCAGACTCTCGGGTTGGTGTCCCTTCACATTGTAGTATGTCTTGGCGAGGATGGTGGCTATGCTCGGTCCGCCTCTGGTCTCTTCTCCCTTTCGTATTATGCTTGTCGAGGGCTTGTGGCGGAGTGACAGGGACGTAGAGTTCGCGCGCGTCCGCAATTGCTTGTACGACTGCTGGTGTGCTAGTGTCCGCGCCCGTCTGAGCGAATTGAGGTGCAATGCTCGGTCATCGGCCGACGGGGGTTCTCCAAAGATAAAGAACTTTATGAAGCAGAAAATCAAGATTGCAATGGAAAGCTGGCCGAGCAGGAAGCCTTGGGTGAAGGAGAGCCTGGCTTGGGTTAGTGGGGGTTCTGCTTGGGCTGACCATGGCCATACGATGACGAGCCGGCTGGTGTTGCAAGCGGCACGGCCGTGGGAACTTCGTCTGCCATGTTCGCGACTTGCATCCCGTTATCGGCCGAGTAGTTCCATATTGGGAACTGGCTGTGGTGTTTGCGAAAGTTGGAACGGGAATGCAGATCCACTCCCCTACCAGCACTATCGATAAGGGGGCGGGCTGCAGTGTCCATTCCCCCATGGCTCTCCACCACGTCATCTCTGCTAACCCCCAGGTTACCCCAGAAAATGCCCACTCTCTCAAAAGTCATTGCCTTCAAGGTCCCGACTAATCGCGTTGCCGCCATCAAGGCGGCCAGAGTTATCCGGTCCATCAAGAGCCGATACCGAACACAAGCCTTTTTGTTCCTGGCCTACCACTTCTTCCTCACGTCGCCCATGCACCTGGACATCTTCATCATGTTCTTCATCCTCGTCAGCAACTTTATGAACCGCCAGCACGCCTTTCCGAGCCAGTTGGCTATTGACGGCCTTCGCTTCCTGCTCGACGAGAGACGCTTCATCATGCCTTGAGAGCTAGACACAACTACCTTGGGCATCGCCAACACGAAATCTCTAGTCCAAAAACCCCCACACTACACCACATGGCCATGATCCTTGTCACGCTCTTTTCTGCACTTGGATGTCCCTTCACTTGCGCTGGCGGAGATAGCGGCAGTTGAAACTCCGATTGGCTAGTCGAGCTCCCCACCATCTGAGACAGCTTGCCTTCACGCTGCTCTGTAGGACATGGTCTTCAATTCCTCATGGACTTTGATACACTGAGCCAGAGCGTTTCGCCGGGCGCTGCCGCGCACAATGCGAACCTGATGCTACCCGCCACATGCGAGCCACCATCAGAGCATAACCCGCCCAAACGAGCAACATGGATTGTATGGCATCTATAAACAAACAAGAAAACTTGGTTCACTTGCTGATTGCTATATATAGGTCTTCGGAGCGACCGGTCACATAGGCCGTTCCCTCGTTCGCGCGATACTGGCACACGGAGACCAGTGCACCGCCGTGGGATGGACCGAAGAGAACACACCAGAGCAAATGGAGAAGTGGAACAGTAAAAACTGTCTGGGACTACTATGCGACGTGAGAGTCCGTGAGACTGTGCATCAGGTGTTCAAGAAGAGTATCCATCATTGGGGCCAGGTGGACGTCATAGCGAACAGCACCGGCTACGGCGTCATAGCAGCATGTGAAGACCAGGACGACTACGACCTGCGCAATCAGTTCACCACAAACTTCCTCGGTACTCTTCACATCATACAGCTGTCTCTCCCCTACTTTCGCGCCCAAAATTCTGGCCGTTACCTCATCTTCTCCTCCACAGCCGGTGCACTTGGCGTGCCAGGACTTGGCCCGTATTGCGCGACCAAATATGCCGTCGAGGGCCTCATAGAGTCCATGCTATACGAGGTCGATATTTTCAACATCAAAGCAACCCTGGTTGAACCCGGCCATGTCCGACTGGATGAACCAGATGACAACATGTCACTCACCAGTCATACGTCGGCCCTCACTCCATGCGCAGGTCCTCCAAAGCCAAAACGTTACGGCCACTTTTCCGTAAAGCCGAATCCTAGCGAGCCATACTCTACACTGACTAGTCCCGCGCAACATGCGCGTCGGATGGTACAGTGGTTGAATGATCGACAGCCAGTGAGCGCTGTGAAAAGCGCCGAACTGGTGTGGCAGCTGGGCCATTGTAGTTATCCTCCCTTACGCCTGATTTTGGGTAGCTATGCTGTAGAGAGTATCCGAGATCGATTAAAAAGTATCACTGAAGAGGTATGTGTCAAGTGCGACAACTGCTTAATGACAGCGCGGCTCATGTGTTCTAGATTGAGGATTGGAAGCATCTTTCGTTCCCCGTATCTATGCCCGAAGAGGAAGGCGGGAGGGACCAGTTGAAAGAGGAGCAGGAGCAGGACGAGGAACAAGATCAGGAGTGATGGGTCGGCACAAGCTCTAGTAGAAAGTCGACCAAAGTCACAAGCGGTTGTCAAATGTTCCTAGCCCCTATAAAAGTTCGAATACTTGCTTCTGTTAGTCGTGATCACGATATACCACGTAAGCCTCATTGACGTCTACACCAATCATGTCTACTAGATTTTTTTACGGATATGGCAAAAAAAGATACCCAGATATCAAAAAATGCAAAAAAATACATTGCATCGGCCGGGAATCGAACCCGGGGCTAGCCGAAACTGTCCTGCTGAAGAAGCTGGATGGCAACGGCTAATTTTACCACTAAACCACCGATGCGGGTTTTAGAGCCAAAAGCTTGGTTGATTGATGTAAGAATCCGTAACTAAAGATTTTATATTGACCAAAATTGATAAGATACTAGCTGATAGGTGGTCCCACACGCTGGACTTTGGTGTGGAACTCTTCAGGTGGGGCAATTCAACGCATCTGCTGCACCTGGACGACATAAACAAATTGACACCTTAATACTGTATATAACAGCTACTGTAGCCGCCAGATAGTTTTTCATAAACAGAATAGTAGGTTTATCCATAGTGTCGCTGTCAACTAATTTATGTCACCTAGGTGGCTACACATCGTTGCGGCTTCTGCGCTACTTAACCCCCTTGACAACAGAAGTACTTAGGGGTATTGGGGGCGTGCAGGAATGAAGCTACGACCTGTTACTAATTGGCGGTGATGTCGTGCCTGAAAATCGTCAAGGGGTCTGCGGGTTCGTGCTTCGTGCCGCCCCACAGGCGTGTTCTAGATCTCATCACACAACTCCGATTAGATTGTAGTTTCTTGTAGACATCTTGTCTAATTCAAGTACTAAACCTGGAGTTCTGCAATCTAGCCTCCAACATCGCATAACCAAGCACTAGAGCTACCCGTAGATAGCAAAAAACACGGCACAGCTGTTATTCTATTCGGGTATAACGTGGCATTGGGTAGAATGATGACAAGGTGTATTAGTTAGATAAGCGTGAAGATTATCACGTTTATTTGGCGCTCTGATACAACTAGACTTTATGCCTAAATCATTACAGAATTCTACACCTGCAACTTCGCTAAATGGTACTTACACCATCTATCTGTCGGAACATGCGCGTACAGCCAGCCCGGCGAGTTTTTCCGGGCCGGAAGCTTGGACCACTAGTTAGACCAAGCTTCCCGCTTAGCTCGCAACCGTACATATGGAGATCTCTCCATCCAGCTCTTGCTCACTACTAATCAAATACTATACACTTTGTTCGTTGCAACGACTGCTAGTATTCGACACCTTTGCCGTGTCAACACTATCTCATCTATTCCAAGGTCTATTGAAGTGTTGAGATCGCAAAGGGCCCTAGGGTCATGTTTGTTGGTGCGCAAGCCAGTAGCGTGTCTAGTGATTGGAGCAAGCTTCAGAAGGCACGTGTCGTGGGCGTAGCCAGTGCAAGCCAGGCGCAAGCCACAAGATGGCCAATCTGATCGCAACTCACCAATGTCAATTTTGTTCGGCCGCCCCGAGTGTTGGAGGCTTTTCGGCCACCAAAGTGAGCCAGCCCTCTGTTGGACACTATGCAGGGTCTGCGCTATAGTTTTTCGAACTCGCTTATGCCCGATGTCGCATACGATAACCCTGAACGAGGATGTACGCTCATCGATAGCGCGTTGTGCCCGCCTTGCGCACACATTGCTTTCTCCTTAGATAGCTTTTCGCCTTCGCATATGGCATGATTTCTACTACGTCCGACTATGTGTTCTCGGGAAGCGAGTTTGATAGATGGCCTTGTGGCTTCCTTCCTGGGGGCCTGTCTGAGTCAACCCTCATCCATGCAGGTACACAAACAAGCCACTTCGGTTCAGACTCGTAGAGCTTCAATCACACTGGCAAGTAGGTAGATATATAATTGCGTGTCTTCCGGCTTTTGCCTACTTCCCATCTCTATTCAGGAGCATATTATCGACTGTCATTCTCTTGCTCTTTCGTTTGTGGCCAGTCATATAGTAATTCTTAATATCAATCACAATGCGCTGGACTTTTCTACTCTCTCTCGCGGCAACGTTAACGTTTGCCGCTGGTAAGGTATCAACAAACGCTCGATGTGGACATGCCTACAATGCCGTGCCCGGTGGCATGAGCTGCAAAGGTTCAAAATGGGGAGATTGTTGCTCTCAATACGGCTACTGGTAGGTGTTTAGATTGAATGTTGCATACTTGAGCAATCGAATGATTTCTTGCAGTGGAAATACCAAGGACTACTGCGAAACAGGCTGCCAGTCATCGTTCGGTAGCTGCAATGGCATCACATCCGTACGAACTTCGACGACCTCAAGCCGCAGCACCTCCACCGGAATAGCCTTGTCGACGGCGCCTTCTTCTATGGTAAAAGTGAAGATTACTACAAACGTTCGCTGCGGAGATTTGTATGGAGCATCACCTGCGGGAATGACCTGCATTGGTGGAAAGTATGGCAACTGTTGTTCCCAGTACTCGTATTGCGGAAGCTCTAGCAGCGTTTCATCCAGCTCAACTTCACATTCTATCTCTACCAGCATTTCTTCTAGTTCTACTCTATTCTCTACGCCGACCAGCACTTTCTCGGGCTCATCATCGTCTATCGAATCCACGACGTCGTCTTCCATTTCGATCTCGTCCAGCATGTCCTCCGATGTCTCCGTGACCTCGACCTCACCAGAACTTACGACCTCTTCCGCAACTACCTCGTCCTCTGCTACACCAACAGGTGACGGTATTTGTGGCTTTGAAGGATACAATGTCGTCGATCTCCAGATGTTTTCGGCTAAGCCATTCACGACTTTGGAAAACTGCCTGGAAAACTGTCGTGCAGAGAGCGCATGCCGAAGTTTTATCGTTTACTTGAATACGTGCTATCTAGCCCGACTACCAATTACAAGTACCAATGTTGTTTCTAGATTGTCGAGCGGTCTGAGATACTACAACGCCGACTGCGTAGTCAGCCTGATTACTACTACGCCACCCACAACAGTAGCGACATCTACAATATCGACGTCTACAAGCACCATAAGCACATCTACCATGTGTGTGCCCCCTGTACCGACAGTATTCTGTGTTGCCTACCCAGATTGCAAACAGTTTACCACACCCCTTTCCAACAGCTGCCCAGCCAACGGCGCGCAATGCAAGGACAACTACTTTGTTCGCTGCGAAAACATTCCAGCTCCAGGCTCACAAGTGTTGCTTGCGGTTGGGGGTATTCCAAACGTGAATATATGTCGTCAAACCTGTGATGGGCAGAACAACTGCTCTGCTTTTGCATACAAGGCTTTCAACTGCATCCTGTATAGTTCGATCAATGGGTTCGTTTCGGATCCGGCAACAACGTTTATTAGGATCTGCCCAACTACTTGCTCCAGCGCGCCGATACGCCGAGATGGAGGAAGAGACGGCTCCTTCCTTCAAGTAAGCACTTAGAGAGACCGGAGTCATCGTTGTGTCGTATACCATGATCCGAGAAGATCATTTTGTTCTTTCCTTGGAGGTGTGAAGTCTTCAAGGACCGCCAAGTAAGAAAACTGTACGTGAGCGACTTAGTCTCCGTCGTATGTACAGACCTTTGCTATGTTGCCACGTCTCGGTAGACGGATATATCGAAGCATGGTAACTAATGTATAATTGAATAAAATCTAGTAATTTCAGTGAATAAGCTCCGATGTTCAGCCTTGTAAGGTCAAAGTATGCCCACAAGTCCCTGATTGATGCTGCATTCGATAGAAGATTGCTCTAGTTTTCTCGATTTCAGTGCATGCCTTTATCTGTCCATCTGTTGGTAGGTCTATAGCACTAGTGCTGAAAGGAAATAACGATAACTAGGAATGCATTCTGTTCGGTGATAGTTCTAATTGATTTTTTCGAAGGAGAACTATGGAAGAGCTAGATATAGGAGGTCTGGTCTGAGCGCTGCTCGGACGCCGCGATTAGTGCGCCTGCTCGCGTGACCGAGATCAGTGCGGCCGATCGCGTGGCTGAGATATTGTTGATATCTGTGATCCGACACCATCCGTCATTATTTTAATCGTGTAGGTAGCCAATATGGGTTCCTACAAGATTGGTAACTGAAAAGAGGGTTTTCCACAGTCTTCTGGTGACTGTCTTAGCTACTATGCAATGATGTGATTTCAATACATTGTGACACATTGATTCATAGTATAAGTGTCGATGACAAAACTGTTCTATCATATACAAGACGGAAACAAAATCCGTGGTTTCTCATGGACGAACTTCTTCGTCACACTAATTCCACGTAACCAGTATAGTGACAGAAGTTCAAGGATGCAAAATCCCGAACCAGGCATGTGCCTACAATACTTCAGTAGCTTGATTGGTGGACAACGCACTGATAGCGATCAAGTCAACCCTCCAATAATCAACACCTTCTACGGAAGGGTAAGTATCCACCTACCAAAGATAGCGACCTCAGATAAGCCTGATAGATACCTTCCTTACCTATATATCGAGAAGGGGCATTGCGTGTATGGATGGCCCACCCCTGCATATTGTGACTGAAAGCTACGAGAGATCAATCGCCTGTAACAGTCCAGTCAAAGCACCGCAACACCTAGACTATAGCCAACAGCAAATCGGAAAGTTCGTACACAGCCAAATAGTGCAATTGATTGCCAAGATGGTAATCTCTCAAAGTGCGGGGAGATGAGCCGCATGCAATCAATACTCCGACGCTTGATCGTTTCAGGCCCTGTACACCGCAACACCAAGACAATGTACATTAAACACCAGACCAGTCGCCATGGGAAAGCAATATGGGTATTGTATGCATGATCATGGTTAAGTGAGGGGAATAGAAACCGTCCGCTATACATATCGGAAGATATTGCAGCTCCCTCAACTACCTGCCCTAATAAGGTCGCACTACCGCTCAAGTTGCATCCATGAGCATGAGGAAGGTACAAGTGGTCATGGCGGTAAAAACGTACATGATATAACCCTGGTGTCAGGCCTAGCAGTGCTGTAGGCTTCAAACTGCTTCAAACACCATCGCTTCTTCTCCGAACAAGCAGTCGCATCCTATACCATGCAGTTCTCTATTCTACTCCTTGCGGCATATGCCTGCGGCGCTTCAGCACGTCTCAACTGGTCGCTGGCAAAAGCATCCAACCCCACTGCCGATCAAGCAGATGCCTACGCCAGGATCGAAGCCGCAATGACAAAGGCCGTAGCACGCTACCACAAAAACTCAAATGCCAACAAGACCATCCGTGTCGCATACGCGCCAGGCGTCCCCACTGCCGAAGCAAACTACAACGGCGATCTGCGCTTCGGCTCGAATCGCGCATATATGACGGAAAGAACAGCCATGCATGAAATATCCCATACACTAGGAGTGGGACAGACAGCAGCATTCAACACCAAATGTGCGGCGGGAGATTGGAGGACAGCGCTGCCGTTGGTCCGAAGTTTTGATGGTGCCAATGCGAAGATTAGCTGTGGCGGTGGGCACTTCTGGCCGTATGGTCTGAACTATGAGACGGAGTGGAGTGAGACCAACGGAGATAGGCATGTGAAGATGGTTCAAGCTATGCTGAATGATGGTATGTAAGGCTGTATGTAATTAATGAAGCCAATGGGACAATGCAGTTAGTTCTTGAGAAAGTTCACGTATGACTAAATAGGGCGTGATGTTTTCGTATTTCTTTTGGCTTTCAGTCGAAATGCGGAGTCGTTGTGACACCCTGGGTGGGAACCTTTACTTCAACTTCCAGACACTGATCATATCCTCACCACGGCTCTGTTCGAATGATTCTGGTGGCTTCCAGTAGACGACTCTTTCGAAAACGCCCTGCTCTTGACCGTTGGCAATGAGATTTCCAGATTCATCGAAAAGGCCATCTGCACCGTCGGCTAGGAGGTTCCAGTGAACGCCCTTGAGGCCCCACGGTGGACCTTGAGCTTTCAGCGGTTTCCACATAGGGAATTCAAGGCACACAAGGACACCGCTTGGTGAGAGGAGGCTTTTCATGCGCTCAGCCCAGCCCTTGCGCATTTCCGGTAGCAAGGCACAAAGAAACTGATATTTTCAGTCTTCGCCCTGTATACATGGGTGTTCTCAATTGTGGCATCGTGTGCTTACTGTGTAGTCGTAGATGAGATCGAAGCCCTGGAAGTTTGGTCCGAACTGGGACTCGTAGCCCTTTTCGAAGAAGTCCCCAAGTACTACTTGAGCGTGATAGGGGCCTGAATTCTTCAGTTGCGCTTTCACATTCTCGTTCGCTGCGTCCACTGCTCCCTGAGACACTTCGAGGCCCCACACTTGGTAGCCGTGACGTGCCAAAAGCGCTACATCGTGGCCTTTCCCGCATCCCTGTGTATGACTCAGCTATTTCCCAATTTTGAGCGAGCAAATTATACATACAGGCACAAATGCCTTCAGTGGACGTTTGCCTTGGTCTCGAAGCAGCGTCTCACGGAACGGGTGTTCATCCAGGAACTTTATCAGGGCAGGCGAAGGTCGGCCACGATCCCACAAACCCGATTCGTCGTTTTCCCACAGTTTGGCCCACCCGTCGCTCTGTGCATCTCTTGTTCTGCGACTGTTAGTTGTGGCTACGGGTGTGGCGGCACCATGTGGCGGTTCCCACTCAACTTGTAATCATCGAAATGGGAGATTAAGCGTGTCCTGTTTTCGACGGACCGCGCCTCGGTAGTCATTGTGGCGAAAAATGGCAATCAAGTGGTGCAAGGATATAGGATGAGACGGCAGAAGTTGTAGTGAATCAGTGGGATGGATAGCTCGAGACTTGGCGCTAGTCTTGTACTTACCTGGCGCTAGACACCTCTGGACAGCGCATCCTTGACGTCACCCCACTCTTTCTTCCAGCCCCAGGATTTAGAGGTACCTGCCTTTCACAGCGCTTACGCTTGTCTGATGTTGCAGTGATGCATGTTTTCCTAAGTGTTCTGTGTTGTCCAAACGGTTTACCCGATCGATATTCCGGTCGGAATCGTGATTTCCCTATTAGTGCTCTGACCTCATGTGGCAGAATGTAATCAAAGCTGACATCAGGCACGGAAACAATCTTGTCGGATACGTTTTGCAGCTTGATTTATTTCCTCCACTAGTTCTTACACCGTGCTTTGATGTGGCTCAAGACGACCAACTGGGCTTCAGCATAGCCGACTTCCGCTCACACAACACTGAAGTAACCTTTCCTTGCTTCCTCAAATCATGTATCAGCTACGCTACAGCCTTGGTATTGGCATTGTCGTCATATTAGCGCAGTATCGGGTAAGAGAATCGATGCTTGAGTTTGGTTGTATAGTATGTGCCGTAATGCCGAATTGTTCAACGATGACCTCTCATCCTAACGATGCAGTTCCGATGCGCCGTGGAGGTCGGCTCGTCGCATAGCCCCTTCTGTCACTTCATTACGTTGGGCTTCGGACTGGCAACAGCCATCGAGGCTTAAAAAGGATCAATTCTTGAGATATTCAAAATCACCGCGGGTGCAAGGCTCATCTGAGTCTCAAGGCTTTGCTTCCTCGTCTACGTCAGCATCCATGGGCCACCCTATCTTCAACTCTATACCACATACAGCACGATACATGTATCATCTTCCCTGTCGCGTCAGTCTTGTTTTCTTAATACTTGCACTTCTTCAGCAACAGCACTTGTTTTTCACCAGTCGACACTCACTATCAGCCAAATACTCTGCGACCAACTTCCAATCACCCAATCATGGCCCGTACCATCGATACTGGGAGCCTGAGAACGAGCGCCTCCAATTCCAAGAAGAGCTAGTCGCAAATCGCGCAGCTTGGAAGGTGCTTGGCGAAGGGTGGGAAGGCAAGGTTTTCGCCTATAAAGACTCAGTCATCAAGACTTTTACGCCGGGGCGTAGTCCTTTTCGCAATTGTGCACCAAACATGGCTACCAAATGGCCAACGGAGATACCCGCATCCCTAAGATTCGGAGGTATCAGCACTGAAGACGATACAAACACAACATACCATGGGTTTCTTCCAGTCAAGGCACACTTCGTGGCATCGTCATCTCCCGGAGCGCCAGCGGAGTGGCATCTAGTCACTCCGCTATTGGACGGTGGTAGTCTTGGAACACTGGCCGAACACTTGTACTCGAGGGAAAGGCCCAAGTCACACAGAGAGATGGACGCAATCTTTCGTCCAGCCTTCAATCGACTACTGACGAGCATGAGCACTCTCCATGATGCAGGCTACTGCCACGACGATATCAAGCCCTCAAATATCTTCATTCAAGATGAGTCACACTGGATGATAGGTGACTTGGGGAACGTTCGAGAAGTCTTCCACCCTTACCACTCATCACGTATTTGGACGGACAATGGGCAGATGGGCGACTGTCGAGCAAATGACGCGGTACGGGCTCTCAAGACTTACCTCAAATTCATACAGTCCTCAATAGCCGACGATAACGAGTTCAACGTAGCGATACTAGGAGGGCATGAGCCTATGAGCAGGCTCTTCTGGCGGACATTGGCAGATGCACGTTATATCAGTGCGGCGGAGCTCCACAAACGCTCCATTGTCGAATACCCGGAAGCGTTCTCAAGGACAGTGGACAACAGGATTGCAAAATCCGCGCGACATGCTTCTCTTACAGGTCTCTTTTCACGGCGACTTGCAACGAAGCTGGCGGTTGACCATGCGCTTATGACGCGCATAGATGAAAGGAGTGCACGATGGTGGGGAATGGTTTGGCTATTCGGACTGCCTGATGCAAAACGTTGTGACCTATAATACTCATGAAGAGCAGCGTAGACACCAACTATACCTAATAATATCCATGTATAACCTGTTACCTTCCTGTGTAGGCGTCAGCAAGGTATTGGATATGATCGATTCGTATGTATTACTTTACTTACCATACTAATCGCAACACTCGCAAAGCCAGCCACATCCGCCGCTATATCCGCCGCTTTGGTAAGTTCTGTAGTTCTGCCTCGTCTTCTCAATGCGCTTCAGCTCAATCTCAAGCACCTCATCCGCCTCCTTCCTGTTCATTATCCCATTTCCCTGGACGTATTCCCACACGTGATACAGCGCAAACTTTTTGGCCTGCGTCGTTGTATTTGGAGACTCCTTGACTTTCACACCAGCCTTGGCAAGGTCATCGGGCTCGACTTTCCACCACTTCTTGAGATACCTTTCTTGCATAAAGATGTGGTATTTTCCGTCTCTGAAGCTCGACGGCGCCATGGAGAGTGGCGGCAGGGTCCACACGTCGCTGGAGCCACGTTGTTCGTTCCATTGAGCAAGTGCCACACGAAATACATGGTAAAGTGGTAGTTCCTTGTAGTGTTTTCTGTACATCCAATCGACGTATTATTTCTCGTTGTCGTTCCCCTTGTGAAATTGCGCTAGTGTCTTGCCTTTGTGATATCCAGTGCGGATGACGTAGTGGTGAAAGGGATCCGCTTGTACGCGTTCGGCGCCTGGTGAGGCATCATCGATTTTTTCCATGCCAGGGTCGAATTTCCCTTGAGAGCCACCACCGTGGGGTGAGGTGCGATAGCCTCTCGTGTGACTGTTTTGATGCGCACGAGCGCCGCGGAAGGACATGGTCTCCGGGAATAGGACCAAGGACTTTCGGTCGTTGAATGCCAAATGTGGAGCGATGTTGGAGGATGTTGGATGGAATGAATTCGAGAAGCAGGAGGGAGTTCAATATAAATCTCATGGAAATGCGTTCTTGGGTATCGCGCCGGATTCGGAGTAATTCACCGAAAGCGAAACTTCGCGATCCCACGGCTTTGCGGCGTTAAGCTACACGCTCGATCCGGGGGGATGGCGCAGTGGTAAAGCGCCTGGTATTCCTTTACCGCACTCCAAATTTGCAGTGTAGTAGAGGTCGAAGGTTCGAATCCTTCTCCTCTCACCGCCACTTGTGGCTTTACCAAAAAATATCGAACGGCTTACTCCAACTCGCAAATTTTCACCTACCCCTGCAAACCTAAGCGACAGGTTATAGCCGCAGTACACCCGAGCCACGCACTGCTACGACTACAAACACTACGCTAAGCTTGTTACAACCCTACGCCTCGTTCAAGATCCCATGGCTTTTTCCCCTTTGAGGTTTTTTCAGACTTAGGAACACGAGGAAAGCGTTGCAAAAAGAGATAGGTTGAAGAGAAGGAAAAACAGGCAGCTATAATAGGGTTTTACTTTCTCTCCTCCCCTGTAATAGCTAGGACATGCCTAAACTACATTAGTCAAACATAACCAACGAACATCAAAGGAGAGATAAAAATAGCTAGAATGGCATCTGCCACCGTCCTACATAGTCTCTGACTGATAAAGGACGCTAATGGATTACATACATACATACATACACGCTCGATCCTTGCCAATACCTGGTTAAGGCAGAACACCATGACGGAACACGACATTACGAGCCAATAGCGCTTCTTGGAAATTCGAAAAGATGATAGGATTGTAAGGAGTACGCAGAGAGTGTCGGGCTCATCATGGTGATGTTTGTCAAATGGCAGATGACTCCTCATTTCTCATTGTGTCGAGTACCATGGTACTCTCCCACAGGCGACCCAAAACTTCCGCTCTTAAACGAAAAAAATACATGCAATTACAGCTACAACTTGACCCTGATCCGAGATTGAACGCCTCAACCAACCTTGCCAAATGGCAATTGTGAAGGCGCATGATCAACCGTTGGTGGGGGCTCCCTTGATGATTAGGGTCATTCGCATCGACGCGTCGCGTTCGTCACCATCACGTGAGCTTACACGCCAACACTGAGTCACGTGTACAGGGTATCCCGGGCTGACTCAGCGAAGTGGCGGTTCAAGCACAGACTGACGTCGCGCGCTAAACATTTCTGGCCGTCTCGCAAACAAAGTGCTGAAACGGCGGCAATTTTCTTTCTTCACCGCCCCACGATATCGTTGCTTTTCTCTAGATTTCTGGCAGGGTCCCGACTGTGTATGTACAAAGAAGACAATGAAACTAGTTTCACGCTCTCTCACTCCGCACGCATTTGCTCTTGCTCGTCTCGTTCCGCGCCTGTATCTAGCAACTAATATACGCCTCATCTCAGCTGCCCCCCTCACCTTGTCTCACAGACTACTCACACACACTCTATCAACTCAACTCCCCATCATGCCTCCACCACCAAAGCGCAAGTGGCCCCGCGGCAGAGGCGGCGGCGGCGGCGATCGCACCAACGGCGCTGCTACACAGGGAGGGCCCACGAATCCTCGCTCAACTATAGCACAGCAGCCGAAACGCCCCAAGATGGAAGATGCGCAGCCGAAGCCAGAGGGCGGCGTTGATGTGCGGCAAATGTACAGCACAGCAGCTGGAGATGCACAGCCAAAGCCCTTCTCCGAACTCAAGGATAAACTGAACAAAGGCCTCCTTGATGGTTTGGACAAGATGGGATTCGAGTAAGCATGAATCAACAAAACACCACTGCGACTCTCAGACTGCAATTTTGCTAGCCTCGTCTCTACCCTCGGATGCGGCTGTTTGTGTAGTTTGAGAAGTTCCTTTGTCAGGACATTGCAGCCATGTGAAGCATTCAAGCTGACTCGATTTTAGATTCATGTCTCCAGTCCAACAACAGGTGCTGACCCAGCTGCCTTCCCTGTCATCCGACTGCGTCGTTCAGGCAAAGACGGGTACGGGCAAGACCGTAGCCTTTCTGCTACCCGCTATCCAGAACCTTCTAGCTGGCAACATGCCCCCGAAAGGCAAGGTCGCTATACTCGTCATCTGTCCCACTCGTGAGCTGGCACTACAAATCTCCAAAGAATGCAATGGCCTCACGACGTGTCTACCCCAGAAAATGGAGTGTCACACTGCCTTTGGAGGCACTTCGCGTGCATCGAACCTCAACGCCTTCATGAAAGGCAACCCCACCGTTCTCGTCGCTACCCCGGGACGACTTGATGATATCTTGGGCGAAGAAGAAGTTCGTGATAAATTCAGTCATCTGAAGACGGTGGTGCTTGACGAAGCGGATCAAATGCTTGATGCTGGATTTGCTCCCGCGGTCAAGAAGATTCTACGTCGCATTCCCCCCAAGAATGACGGCTGGCAGGGAATGTGCTTCTCCGCTACACTCCCTAAGGAAGTTTTGGATATCGCCAAGATCGTTCTGTTCCCCGGTTTCACCCATCTTTCCACGGTCGACCCGAACGAAGTACCAACGCACGAGCGAGTGCCGCAGTTCTCCTTCTCTGTACCCACTGTAGGCCAAACCTTCCCCGCGCTCTCGGCATTGATAGAGGAGGAATACAACCAAAGCCCCACCGACTTCAAGGCCATTGTGTTCGGTACCACGGCTAATGGCGTCGGATTACTCTACGACTTATACCGACACGCTTTGCCTCAATTCCGCCTGTTCGAGCTACACAGCCGCATGTCTCAACCTGCTCGGACGCGTACCACGAAAGACTTCAAGGAAGCGTCTAGTGGTATACTGTTCGCCTCCGATGTTGTCGGCCGTGGCATGGATTTCCCCAATGTCGGCCTCGTTATTCAAGTGGGTCTACCATCAAGCACCGACCAATACGTTCACCGAGTCGGTCGGACTGCTCGTGCCGGCAAGGATGGCCGGGCTGTGCTTCTTCTCTTCCAGCAAGAATCCTTCTTCCCAAGAATCAATAAAACACTGCCCATCAAGCCTTACACCGTCGATATTGTATCACGCCTAGCTCCTCATCAGGCCACCATCGACCGTGCGTTCGCCAACGTTGATGAGGCATCCAAGTCAAAAGCATACCAAGCCTTCCTTGGATACAACAAGACTTTCGTGAAGAAGCTACAAATTTCGACCGCTGATTTGGTTCGCTTGGCGAACGACTATGCACGCAGTATGGGGTGCCCAGAGCCGCCTATGCTCGAGAAATCGACGGTAGGCAAGATGGGCTTGAAGGGAGTGCCTGGTCTCCGAATTGGGTCGCGACGGGACTAGCTAGTTTCTTTCTATTTCTGAGAGGGTACTATAGAAGACTTATGTATCATGTCTTACTTTCCTCGGCGTTTCGTGTATAGACCGATCATAGATATGGATTGCGGCTGAACGCCGTTATAGTGGGATGGTTAGGTTCCCGTTTGTGGAAGCAAGGGATGGATTACCACCGAGTTTGGTGCGATGAAGCACTCAGATACCCACTTCTATCATAGTAGCCTCATGTCGATTCTGCGCACTCTGACTTTCAAGTTCAGCTCAGATATTGTCAGTGTCGTGTTCTTTCAGATGCTGGCAATACCACTTCATACACCCGAATATATTTTGTGGTAGACTGGAACTGCCTTAGCCAAGTTGCACAAACAATAACATGATCCATGGGCGAGCGGCGCACACGGGCGAGCGGCGCACCCCACCAACTTTACTCACCTTACTGATCTTAATCTACAATGGCTCAACGCAGCGCTACTCAATTACTATCAAATGAAGCAGATATTCAGCTTGCTATCTCATCTATTAATGCGCACCAGATCCAAGGTACCCGTACTGCTGCAGTAGTCTACAACGTAGCCGAAACAACGCTCCGCCGCCGACGCGCTGGTATACCTGCCCGACGCGATTGCCCGCCCAACTCAAGGAAGCTTACCCAGAGAGAAGAGGAGGTGATTATTAGCTATATACTTCAGCTAGATCTGCGTGGATTTGCGCCTACCTACACAGCTGTACGTGATATGGCTGATAAGCTGCTGGCTGCGCGTGGTGGAGAGCAGGTTGGAGTCAACTGGCCATCTACCTTTGTTAAGCGTACAGACAGTCTTCGGACGTGTTTCAACCAAGCGTACGATAGGCAGAGAGCTCTTTGTGAGGATGCAACATTAATAAAGAGGTGGTTTAAGCTTGTAGAAGAGACAAAGGCTGAGCTAGGTATCTGCGATGAGGACGTCTACAACTTTGATGAAGCTGGCTTTATGATGGGCAAGATTACAACGCAGCTAGTTATAACAGGAGCAGAGAGGAGAGGCAGGCCGAAGAGTATTCAGCCAGGCAATCGCGAGTGGGTAACGCTGATCGCTGCTATCAGCGCTGCTGGCTGGTCAGTCCCACCGTTCCTCATCTTCGCTGGCCAGTACCACCTATCAGCCTGGTATAAGGAAGCTGAGATCCCACGCGACTGGGCGATCGCAGTCAGCGATAATGGCTGGACGAATAATGAGCTTGGAGTTGAGTGGCTAAAGCACTTCAACGCTCACACGCAGGCTCGTAGTGTAGGCGCGCGTCGCCTGCTTATTATTGATGGCCATAAGAGCCACCAATCTCTAGAGTTCCAGGAGCTCTGCAAGGAGAACAATATCCATACGCTCTGTATACCTCCTCACTCATCTCACCTACTCCAGCCACTTGATGTTGGCTGCTTCTCGCCATTGAAGCGCGCGTACAGCCGTGAGGTGGAGAGCCTTATGCGCAACCACATCAACCACATCACCAAGCTAGAGTTTCTGCCAGCGTTCAAGGCAGCATTTGATCAAGCGTTCACGCCAGCCAATATCTGCTCAGCCTTCCGCGGCGCAGGCCTTGTTCCTCTACAACCAGAGGCTGTTCTATCAAAGGTAGATGTACAACTGCGTACACCTACTCCTCCAGCAGCTCTGCCAGAGGCTCCCTGGGTAGCTCAAACGCCGAGCAACGCGCGTGAGCTTGAGGCTCAGTCAAGCCTAATACGTGAGCGCGTGCGCCAGCACAAGAGCTCATCACCAGCTTCAATTATTATGGCGATTGACCAGCTAAAGAAGGGCGCCGAGGTGATGATGCTCTCTGCTGAGCTGATGCGCGATCGGATCTCTAGTCTTGAGAAGGCCAATAGCGCAGCCTCAGAGCGTAGGCGGCGCTCTAAAAGGCGTATACAGAAGCATGGAGTACTCACAAAGGGAGCTGGAGAGGATATACTGGCTCAAAATGAGGCTGACCAGCAGATTGCTCATGAAGAGCGTCAAGGAGGAGCGCGATCAGGCCTCAGCCAGCGGGCTCAAAGGCGCTGCACTAGGTGCAAGGAGACTGGGCACAACTCGCGCACATGCAAGACTGATACTATTAATATAGAGTAATCTACTGTATCAATATCTAGCAATAATATTATCGCGTTGTTGAGATGCATCGCTTTAAAGTTGCAAAAGTTGGTGGGGTGCGCCGCTCGCCCGTGTGCGCCGCTCGCCCATGGATCATGTTATCAATAGAAACATAAAGACATAGTACCCACATCAGAGCTGGGTAGGACAAATCCAAATAGAGGACCGTCTAGATTACGCAAGTCCGCGTGTTCTTGAACATCCTCCACCTTGACGAGGTTTGGCTATGCCATAGGGTCCTATGAACCTCCGCAGGGAGCTCATGAATACACAGGTAGACCTATCCCACAAATTAAGAGCAATTGGAGAGCTATAAGATGTTCATTTATGATTAGAGTACTCTAGGTTTCGACATGATTCGGCCACCATCACACTATGTCGATTTGGATCATCGTATACGACATAACTATGACTCGAGTATTTCCGCATGTTCATGATAACTGTACCAAGTTCTCAAATTTCTAAGAAGTGTCACTGGCGCATAATGTCGCATGCCACGACAACGAACAAAGACGGTGAATTGTACCTAGGCGATGGTAATCTATCATCCGATCTCGCCTCCACGTAACAGAGACGATAGGTGATACTTATCGGCTTGGTTCCGTGTGGTTCTGTTCAGCTTGTAGAGATCACGACATGTCGTTTTAGTCTCCCTTGACGCCTCATGGACCATGCTCGACGCCCAAGTACGTATATATACAGCTGTCGGTGCGATATAATTTCAACATCCAACTACTCACGTTCACTTCTTTGATTGGAAATCGTCACTCATTCACCATGCGCTTCGTCTTTCTCGCTGCATTAGCAGCTATCCCAGCTACCATCGTAGCCCAAGACATGACTTACACGGCAACACATTGCACCTCGTGCTTTGGCTACTATCCCATTCCCACGGGGACTGCTGGGAGCGCAGCTGTGCCAACATGGTACCAGTTCGTTACGACGATGAGCGTGACCAGTATGATCTCTGAGATTCGCCAGACGGTTACCGCGACCGCGAATGCCACTACGCAGATGAACATGCTCACCACGACCACCACCTTCTTCACGACGACGACATCTACACCTGCTGCTGTCGTGATTCCCGCCCAAGCAGGTTTTATACCCATGATCGTCGGTGACGCATCCAATGCCACACTAACGCCCATTCCGCGCATCAAGCGCCACTCACTATTCGAAAACAATGCCCTGCAGCTAGGAAAGCGACAAACCTGCTCCAACTGCAGCGGCGGCTTCTGGTCCAGCAGGAACGGCACAACTTCCAGCCTGAACCGCAAGTTCACTTTTCGCGTCGACTGTCTCGTGTACGAGACTATAAATCGTACGCAGACAATGACGGTTACGGGCTTACCTATGACCGTTTATCAGGCTGGAGCTACAGCGCTGGCGAGCAGTACGCTGACGGTCAGTGTGACGAGTACGGTTACGGAGATTTTGCCTAGGGCGACGGAATATGCGGCTTGTGGGGCGAACAATGTCGGCGAGTAATCTCTGTTTAGTTGTAGAGAGAAACTGCTGACATGAGAATTAGTGAATAGAATCCGGGATATCAATGGTAAAATGCTCATGTTCGATCGCGTCATCTATCGTCCTGCACAAGGTTTCCCGAATGAGGAGGAGCTGGTGATTGATATGACGAGTGCGGTTGGGTGCTGTGTTGCTTGTCAGACTACTGTAAGTGTTCATCTTGCCTACTGGTATCTTGCTAGGGATTCATGATGCTGATGGACTTTAGCCCAATTGCGCTGGGTCTTTCTTTGCGCCCAGTGATCTGGAGTGCCATCTCCGCTTAACGCAACCACCGACCGCTCTGCCTACTATACTTCCTCTACCCGTTTATTCCTCGGGTATAGCTTACCCGTCTGGTGTTGTATATCCTTCTGGAATCGTATTTCCATCCGGAGTTGCGTTACCGACCGGAGTATTTCCATTTGGGATAGCAATGCCGTCTGGTACAGGAGTGCCATACCCCCTTACCAATGGCACACTCGCTGACGCTGCCTATCGGACAGTCCCCAGCCCTCTGGCTTCCCGAACTTGACGTTGCCAGCAGCATCCGATGCGCCTTACCCATTCCTCAACGCAACATACCCGTCCTCCTTCCCCACGCTCTATCCTAGCGCCTTACCCATTCCTCAACGCAACATACCCGTCCTCCTTCCCCACGCTCTATCCTAGCGCCTCTGGCATCTTCCCGACCTTGATTTCACCCAGTGGGATCTCTGCCCCCATGTCCACAGCTAGCCCTGTGCAGAATAGCAACGCCACATGTGGCAGGGGCAGTCTATCCCTGTATCTGGGTACGATACAGGGTCAGCAGGATTTTCCGGAGCAGTATGCGCTTAGTTTCAGTAATGGGCCGTGTGGGAGGCTTAGTTTTTGGCCGGTTCCGGTGGATGATTTGGAGGAGAATTGGTGGTTGGACTAGTAGACGGGTTGGGGGAAATTGTAGAGAAGGGGTAAGTAGATGAGAGTTGGAAATGCGAGGTGGAAAATTGGCTGATGAGGAATGTCAGAGATGGATGGTAGGCAGAAACAAGGAGATGCTAGATGGAACGGTATGATTGTACAAGAGCGGGTTTGAAGTATGTCCATGTCTCTCGTTCATTTCCTGAGCTTATATCTGTATTTTACCTGGAATTTGATTGTATTAGATTTTGATTGCGCAGGTACATTATGTATTTGGTTGGCATGTGATTGATTTCTGACTTCATGTGGGAGAAAATTTGTTGTTTCAATCTTGTGTTCCATGGGTCGGTCTTATCGCACAACGCGACCGTCTGGGTCGACTATGAAGATGCTGCATGAGATTATGAAATTCACTAGTTTAGGCAGACGTCAGACCTTTGCAAATCGTGGTAGAAATACGAGGCTACCAAGGCCGGATGGGGGTGTAGCACATA